TTTTCCATTTTGCAGTGAAATTTATGGGCTTCCTGTATGTCAGAGGGCGGGGCCATAATAACATTTTTTTCATGTCTTGACTTGGGAACATGTGTACCGAATTTCATGGCTCTACGACAAACTTGACCTCCGAAAAATCCCATGGGGGTTATTATTAGGCCCGAGCCCCGAACGGGGAAAGGGCCTATTGTTTTTGCTCGAGAGATGTCAAATTCTGCACTTTGAGCCTTAATTTCACCCCCTGAACATGCATGAAAAGTTGTAAAATTTTGACCAAACATCAGACCTGGTGAAAAATTTGATATTTTGGTGTTTATTTTTATGGGACTCAAAAAATGCCAGAACAGCGCCACCTACAACAGCCCATGGGAGTTTTAGAGGTCAAGTTTGTCGTAGAGCCATGAAATTCGGTACCATGTTCCTCAAGTCAAGATACGACCGAAATGTTATCATGGCTCCGCCCTCTGACAAACAGGAGGCCCATATATTTCACTGCAAAATGGAAAAATGAACAGCAAAAGTTTTCATACATGTCGGTTGGAAAGCGACTCCTCCTCGGCCGTTTCACCGATTGGCCTCCATATCACTCCACATTGTCTAAACATATGTACCCTATTTCAAAGTTTTAGATGGGCATTTTCAAATTTAGTTTTTTCAAAATGTTTGAAATTTTGCACATAAATCTGTTTTGCCCTCTTGATTCAAAAAGTCAATTGGGTCCAAGGCTTATTTTTTACCCTGTTGCCGTGGCGACGAGAAACGCTCCCATTCGCAAATCGCTCACACAACATCATTCACAGCCCAAAATCGCTCACATCATCTCAACACATGTACCTCAAAATGACTTCAGGGAATTTTGATCAGTGAAACATTGTTTGAGCAGCGGAGCGCCAAAAAGTGGCGTATTTTTTTTCAGTTTTTGACCATAGAAAAATTGCTTCCGTTTGCACAAACAAAGTCTGATTTGCACAAAACTTGAATCCATGGATCAACTCTTGGGTCTAGGTCATTTGAAATTTAAAATTTAGAAATTGGCTCTATAGCGCCACCTACAACAGCCAATTTAAAAATGCCTCTGGGAGGAGTTTGAGGTCAAAATTGTCATAGAACCATGTAATTTGGAACACATGTTCCTCAAGTCAAGTCATGGAAAAAATGTAATTATGGCTAAGCCCTCTGACAAACAGGAAGCCCATAAATTTCATTGCAAAATGGAAAAATGAAAACCAATCATTTTCATACACGTGAAGCGACTCTCTCCCGCTTCACCGATTGGCCTCAAAATGTCCAAATCATCTCAACACATTTACCTTCAAAATGACTTCAGGGAATTTTGATCAGTGAAACGTTGTTTGAGCAGCGGAGCGGCAAAATGTGAGGGTTTTTTTGGCCGTTTTTGACAACATTAATTTTTTTCCTGTTTGCAAACAAAGTCTGATTTGCATTAAACTTGAATCCATTGTTCAACTCCAGGGTTTAGGTCAGGTTAAAGTGAAATATTTGAAATTGGCCCATTAGCGCCCCCTACAGACTGAATCAAAGTTTACATGGGGAGCCAAACCAGCTCTACTTATCATATTCATTACAATTTGACTAACAATCTTCTTCTATGGCTACGGGAACAAATCATCACACGGCGGCGCCACCTCCTTTAGCGGTGCTGCGTGGTACGGTGGTGCGGCGTAGTGCGGGGCGTTGTGGAGCGGCGCGTTGCGGCTTGGTGCGGGGCGGCGTGTGGCGGGACGGCGTGGTGCGGGGTGGCTTGGCGGGGGCGGCGTTGCGGGGGCGCGCGGGTGCGGGGGCGCGGTGCGGCGAGGGCCGTTCGACGCCGCTTGCGGCTTTAATTTATTTCTTTCTTTCTTTCTTTCTTTCTTTTTTTTTCTGCACTTTGAGCCTTAATTTGACCCCCTGAATATGCATGAAAAGTTGTTAAATTTTGCCCAAAAATCAGACCTGGCGAAAAATTTGATATTTTGGTGTTTATTTTAATGGGACTCAAAAAATGCCAGAACAGCGCCACCTACAACAGCCAAAATAATACCCCTATGGGAGTTCTGAAGATGAAGTTTGTTGTAGAGTCATGAAATTCGGTACACACATGTTCCTCAAGTCAAGACAAGAAAAAAATATTATTATGGCTCCGCCCTCTGACAAACAGGAAGCCCATAAATGTCACTGCAAAATGGAAAAATGAACAGCAAAAGTTTTCATACATGTCGGTTGGAAAGCGACTCCTCCTCGGCCGTTTCACCGATTCGCCTCAAAATCGCTCCACATCATCTCAACACATGTACCTTCAAAATGACCTCGGGGATTTTTGATCAGTGAAACATTGTTCGAGCAGCGGAGCGGCAAAATGTGACCTTTTTTTGGCCGTTTTTGACAACATTAAATTTGCTCCCGTTTGCACAAACAAAGTCTGATTTTCACAAAACTTTAATACATTGTTCAACTCTAGGGTCTAGGTCATTTGAAAGTTAAATGATTCAAATTGACACATTAGCGCCCCCTACAGACTATTTCAAAGTTTTAAATGGGCATTTTCAAATTTAGTTTTTTCAAAATGTTTGAAATTTTGCACATACATCTTTTTGCCCTCTTGATTCAAAAAGTCAATTGGGTCCAAGGCTTATTTTTTACCCTGTTGCCGTGGCGACGACAAACGCTCCCCATTCATTGCAAATATACACCTCACACAAACATCAAACCAGCCTCGGCCGTTTCACCGATTCGCCTCAAAATCGCTCCACATCATCTCAACACATGTACCATCAAAATGACTTCAGGGAATTTTGATCAGTGAAACGTTGTTTGAGCAGCGGAGCGCCAAAAAGTGGCGTATTTTTTTTCAGTTTTTGACCATAGAAAAATTGCTTCCGTTTGCACAAACAAAGTCTGATTTGCACAAAACTTGAATCCATGGTTCAACTCTTGGGTCTAGGTCATTTGAAAGTTAAAATTCTGAAATTGGCTCTATAGCGCCACCTACAACAGCCATATTAAAAATGCCTATGGGAGGGGTTTGAGGTCAAAATTGTCGTAGAACCATGTAATTTGGAACACATGTTCCTTAAGTCAAGACATGGGAAAAATGTTATTATGGCTAAGCCCCCTGACAAACAGGAAGCCCATAAATTTCATTGCAAAATGGAAACATGAAAACCAATCATTTTCATAAACGTTGGTTGGAAAGCGACTCCTCCTCGGCCGTTTCACCGATTGGCCTCAAAATTGTTCCAAATCATCTCAACACATTTACCTTCATAATTACTTCAGGGAATTTTAATCAGTCAAACGTTGTTTGAGAAGCGGAACGGCAAAATGTGAGGGTTTTTTGGCTGTTTTTGACAACATAAATTTTTTCCCCGTTTGCACAAACAAAGACTGATTTGCATTAAACTTGAATCCATTGTTCAACTCCAGGGTTTAGGTCAGGTGAAAGTGAAATATTTGAAATTGGCCCATTAGCGCCCCCTACAGACTGATTCAAAGTTTACATGGGGAGCCAAACCAGCTCTAATAATCATATTCATTACAATTTGACTAAGTTCTTCTATGGCTACGGGAACCAATCATCACACGGCGGCGCCACATCCTATGCGCGGTGCTACGTGGTACGGTGTGGTGCGGCGTAGTGCGGGGCGTTGTGGAGCGGTGCGTTGCGGCTTGGTGCGGGGCGGCTTGGTGCGGGGCGGCTTGGTGCGGGGCGGCTTGGTGCGGGGCGGCGTGATGCGGGACGGCGTGGTGCGGGGTGGCTTGGTGCGGGGCGGCGTGGAACGGGGTGGTGCGCGCGGTGCGGGGAGTCGCGCGGTGCGGCGAGGGCCGTTTGACGCCGCTTGCGGCTTTAATTATGTTTAACTTTATTTTATTTTCATAGTATAGATTTATTGGTCATTTATCTTGTGTGGTTTGCCCATCATTCTTACTGTTCTATAACTGGTGTTGCAACACTGAACATTTTCCCACTCTGGGACATATAAAAGATCTCATCTTAAAGTCTCTGGAGAAGCGAGTCCCATGTGTGAGGCAAGGGGAAAGGCCCCTTCGTCTCTGTTGATGGTCCATGCTCCCCGCTTATTGATTTCTATGGCTTTAATTGCATGACGTTTTGTGTGTGTCAATCCGTCATATTGATTTTAAAATGTAGGCAAATATATACAAGAGATTTAGGAGAGCAGAAAACTAAAGTAGTGGATATTGAACAAAGTTAGAACGATTTCAAAAACTTTAAAACTTTTTCAGGTTTTAAAAAGCAGTTGACAGTGAACCAATGTTGTTACAAAAAAGGTTTATTCGTCGTATTTACATGTAGAAGATGAAGTTTCAATAATAACACAAACAAGACACTTTTTTTGAACATTAATGAACATCCCAATGCTCAGAGCCCTGTAAACGTATGAAAAACCAAAATCCCAAAATATTCCACACTTTCCTTAGAATCCTTGACATTGGAGCTTGTATAAGTGCAGATGTTCCTTAAACGAAAATGATTTTTAATATATGTACATTTTCCTTCAGTGCCAAATTAATCAAATGCTTCAACAACAAGATAACCGTTTGGCATTTGAGTTTTGAATTAAGACAAGTATAGCAGCAGAGGAGGCCTTTAAGACCCGGCATGGATAAAACCCAAAAGAATATTTTATTTATTTTCCGTTTCCTAAAATTAAATGTTCACTTGAATATGCTGCGATAAGAAAGAAAAAGGTTTGGGTGTTGCATTCAGTTGATAAGGACATTTGTAGACATTTCTATTTGTAAAGTTTTGAAATGGTTTGTAATAAAGTTAGTAAATACTGTAGAACGAGGAGCATTAGAACACACGTATGTTGTTTGTTGGTTCTGGTTTTGACGGCGTTCAGAGAAACGACATGCAAACGTAAAGTCAGAGGGAAGCTCGTGGAGTCCGGAGCTGCAGAAACTAAAGGATTCGTTCAGGAGTTTGAAATAGAGGACTCGTCAAGTTTGTCTTTGAGCAGCAGTGTCTGGGAGCGGCTTGGTTAGTGTTGGTGTTGCTTCTTGGAGAGATATCTGAGAAAAACAATAAAGGAAATTTAAAAAGACTGATGTTGTGGTGATGATCCAGGACACTCAACATACAACAACACTACATTTATCAACACTTCTAGCAGAGGTGTCCAAACCGGTCCAGAAAGGGCCCACTACTAGGGGCCTACTTCTAGGGCCTTAAAAAACACTCAACTAAGCACTCAAAATCAACATTCAATTCAATGTATTCTTGTATAGCCCTAAATCACAACAGTAGTTATCTCTGAGGACTTTACATAACCGTTGAATTCCGCAACAGAGAATCAAATAGATCAAACACAAGAAATAAAACAGAAAACACATTGGTATTTGGTCCATAAGAGGCAGATGACCAATGTCCATAAGTCAGGGGTGTCCAAACCGGTCCAGAAAGGGCCGCTGTGGCTGCAGGTTTTCTATCAGACCCAGCAGGAGCAAGGCGCAGACTCCGCCCATTTCCTCAAGTGTCTTAACCTGAAGTCTTAACCTGAAGATTTGAGGAAATGGGCATTGAATGTTGATTTTGAATGCTTAGTTGAGTGTTTATTAAGATTATGAACGACAGTACAAACACTTTTTTGCACCTGTGAACTGGCCCCGCTGGGGAGCCTCCTCAGTCCTGCACCAGTCTTGGCCTCAGTACTCGTTCTACAGCCTAAGTTTTGAATCTAAAACCTGTCCCAGCCCATATTGAGAGAGCAAATTCCTCTCTCAATATGGGTCTCTCCGACAGTTCTCACTTCTTTTGAGTCGATCAAAAAATAAGTCTCTATCCCCCAGTTCCCAGTAGTGTGTATATCCACGTCTTTTGTAATAGTTGTGGATGAGGTTCTTACTCCTCTGATGGGGGGAACCTACAGTAGAGCACCCAGAGGAAACCCACGTCTGGGCTGACATGGTGTTTGAACCCGCAACTTTCCCGCGGCCTGAGAGAAATGTCATGTCACTTTCAGAAGTTACTTCTATTAAGATTAAGATTTAAAAATCCTTTATTTGTCCCACAGTGGGGAAATTTCAGAGAATTTAGTTTATTCCTGGTTCAGGTCTGATAGAGTTCTAGCCGAGTCATAATCTTTGTTCTGGTGTCGCGCTGGTTCAATCAAAGAAGTGTTGAAAAAATATATCAATTCATTTTTACAATTTAGAAGCAACGTTTGCATTCTTTTCAGCCTAAACATGTTTAATCCTAGTCTCACCTCTCCCAATGCTTGTGGTTCAGTCCGCTCAAATCCTCCAGTTTGGCGATTTCTTTGAGATATTGAGCCAGTTTATACAGCTCCTTGTCCTTCTCTCTGTTCAGATGGGCTTTCATGAAAGGTCGGATCTGAACGACATGTTTATGACAAGCTTTATTACATGTCCACAGGAAACGTAAAACCAAATGCCAAGTGGAAGTTGTAATGACAGTTTTTAGAGTAATTACATTAAAACCAGCCGCAGCAAATACACGGACGTCAAAGGCCTTTTATCAATGCAGAGACGACCTTCTGACGCCATGCTGAGCTTTGTGAAGGTCCCTGCTGTCTGTCACACCCTTGTGTCTTTCGTATCTTGCATCTGTATGTCTGCATTTCTACCATTGTCTGTCTGTTCGCACCTCCATGCCCTGTGTCTGATTGCCTCACCACAGGACATGGCGCCTGCGCTCCCTATGCGCCTCCTTCACCGGTGGCCCCCTCCCATCTGTTGTGGGCGTGACTGTCTTTCTATGTAAACAGGAAGCCTGAGCTCTGCGGGCCAGAGCTGGGTATGCTGCCTTTTGGATATGCTAGCTCTCCGCACGTGTGTTACAATAAACTTACGCTCCTGATTTAAGACAAATACTTTTGGGCTTTCTCCTTGCTTTGGGGTATGTAATTCTACAACAAAGTTCAAGAGACAGACCTTTAGTCCATTTTGAGGATTCATGAGGAAGTTGCGGCCGATGTCGTCAAACATAATAGTGTTCTTCCTATGATAAAACTCCTCATACTTCCCCCAGATGACGCCCAGTGGTTTGACCTGTGGCAAATGACAGAAAGGATGGGGTATTAGCTTATTAAAAAGAAAAAAAATCTCCTGTTGTTTTTTCATGGATTGTATTACTGTTGTAGTATTTTGCTGCATTACCATTATTGACATGTTAGTACCATATGAACCAACTCGGACTCTGAGGAGCACAGGGACTGGCCTCCTGCTGATGCCCAGAGTCAGAACTAAACATGGTGAGGCTGCTTTTCAGATTCATGCAGCTAAAATATGGAACAGTCTTCCTGAAAATATTAGACAGGCTTCTTCTTTGACAATGATAATGATTTTTATGCCTAGTGTGATACAAATAAACTTGCCTTGCATTGCCTTACCATGAATGAATGGAGTAAAAATGAAGAAATAAAGAAAAAAAGGCTGACATTTCAGAATGCGGAAACAGTAAGTACAAATGTCTGCAGAAATGAAATTACTAACTTTCATTTGTCTGAGAGTCATGGGGTTGTAGTAGTTATGAAAGTAGCAAATGTGCAGCAAATCAATGACTCATTATTCTATAAAAATAAATGCAATCACTGTTTTTTTTTTTAAGGATTCAGATTTTTCTTTCAATATCATGCTTTGGTCTGAGAGCTGGATGGTTGAGCAAGAGCATGTGTTTCCCTTTTCTGTTTAAAGAAAGTTAAAGATGTGAGAGCAAAGATCTTATCACACACATTTGTTGTGGTTTGAAAGTTGTGGGATTCTAAGGAAATGGACTCTTAAGTTTTCTGTTTTTCATATTTAGGGTGTGTTACGCTTTGTGGTCCAGTTCACTTTAACTAGATCAGGTCTGGTTCACATGGAGAAAAGATGCTCCAAAAGATGTATGACTTCTGGCACTTCTTTGGTAGTTTTACATCCACAAATAAAGAATGTTGCCCCAAGTAAATCAGAAAGGGTCCAGTTAAAGCGAACCAGATGCAGCCTAAATCTTGGAAATGACTCAAACAAGAGATCTTCAGCGTTATCGGCCCATAGGTGATTAGGATTATTCTCAATCAAGATTTTTTTAATCTTAAATTTGAGTACACTCTGAATGTCTTTAAACAAGATTTGCCGAAGAGACAAAGCCATTTTGCCTTAAATGTTGCTATACTTTTTCACCTTGAAACATTTCTTGAATCTTTTTAAAAGACAATTTTGCTTTGTCCCATTGGCAAATCTTGTTTTATGGAAGTCAGAATGTGCTCAAACTAAGCTACATTTAGCCAAATGTTAGTCAATGATTGCAAAGCTGTAGAAAAAGGTGGTGTTAACAATCGCCGCTCACTGACCTCCACCACTCCTCTCTTGGGCGTGTGCACCGTGATCATGGCGGCGCTGTCCAACATGAACGTGAGCTTGTAGTTTGGGTTGTCCGTCACTCCCAGCTCCTGCTCGCACAAAACACTCATTGTTGAAAACTCCTCTTTTGACACGAGTGAAGATATACTACTCCTAATGATCACATACTTTCATTTTGGCTTCAATCCACTTCATACTTGTTGCAGCTAAAGAGATCACACAGCTTGATTAGATAGTTACAATGGTATTATGCTATCATTTATCACAGTATAAGTAACATAGTATAGAGGTGAAAGAACAAAAGGAGGAAAGAATGACAAGAAATCTGGTATATTTTAGTAGCAAAAGTGTAGTAACTTTATTTCATGGTATATATCATTATGTAGAATATATATGAGACCTTATTCTGCTACTAATAAAACATTTTAAATGATTAGCAACACTTATTATTATTCATGACTGTGTTTACATACTGTAGTTATCATATATGAGAATTTTGATCCATTCAAGCTGCTGGCAGTTAGGAGCAATGCAGTGTTATTTATGCCCACTTATTCATGCCCATTTCTGTACATTAATACATTAAATACAGTGTAATAAAGTGGATTATTAATAATAGATAAAGCCTCAGTAGGGCTGTCAGTATTTGGTTGTTTAACAAGGAGTTCTACGATAAAACTGCAATTATTAGAAGGCGTGGGAAAACCGTTGATAATTTATTTAACATTTGTTTTGGTCATTTAAAGGAAGATAAAACTTTTGTGCAGTTGATTTGATCTTTTGTGTTAATGGATACATTTTATGGATAAAAGCACTAAGAACAGACTGTTTTTCTACGACATTGAAGTCTTGTTTGGATCAGATACATTATGTTTAATAGCTTTGAGACTTAGTAGAGAAATCCTTTGGTCATTTACAGCCCTAAACAGACTAATTTATGAGCTTGTTCATTCACATGTCAAATGTTTTTAAGGCACAGATTTTGTGCCATTCTCCCCTATTTGTAGGGGTTCATTTATATACACTGTATATTTCAGCAGAGTGAGGTTTTAACTTGTTATTTCCATGGCTTTAAGTGCACATAAATGTCTAATTACAAACCAAATCAGAATTTATTAACGGGCAAAATTAAATCTACAAAGATAGCTACTAATCATAATAGCAAATACAGTTAATTATACATATTTTTTGTGTGTGATATTATTCGAGTGGTGTTAGTGTGTTGGCAGATCTCAATATTTGGATCAATATTGTATTTTGAAACAACATTAGCAATGCATACAAAGAAAAGTATACCAGCGTTAGCAATGTCTCACTTACACCAGATCACAATGTCGTAGTCCTCGTAAGCAGATGTTAAAAACTCGTGAAGGTACGGCCTCATCAGCTCCTGACCCGTTTCTGCGCACGACTTGTGGTCTGAAAAAAGAAACATAGAAAAAACCCCAAAAACATAATCAGATTAAATGAGAAGTTTTTATATTAAAATCTTGTTACTACGACGACCTCACCAAACAAAGTGTAGTCCACATCGAGCACTAGCAGCTTCTTTCCTTCTCGAGGCGGATTCATCTCTTCAACTTTGTAGTCTTTTACTCTGCGTGCGATTTTAGCCAGGTTCTCCTCTCTGGAGACAGATAGCAGCATTTATTTCAACATAAAAATGCACATAAAGGTTGAGCTTTGCTTCTCTTATTTAGCAACAGAGGGCAGTAAACTTAATCAGGAGGATATGAAAGTCTCAGTGTAGCCAGGTGCAGCATTAAGATAAATGAACGTACAATAAAAAATGTGCATTGAATGAGTCCCTTGGCATAAATAAAATATTACAGGGCTGTGGCGATGCTTGCTGCCACAAATCGTATTCGCCCAATGGACTTTAATAGTATTTCTACTCAATAAAAATGCTGATTTATGATTGTCTGACCGGTTCTCCACTTCGATCACTTCCTCTTCAATGTCAAAATCATTAACGACATCATCATTTTCAGGTGGAGGAGCAAGGACGTCTTCCTGTAAAATGATAAACGTTGAATATTCTAATAGGTTATGCCATGTCACTCTGTGTTTGAACATATATTTACGACGTACCAGGCTTTCCTCTCTCGTGCCCATCATCATGATCTTTGTGTTTGGCTTCAGTTTAAGAGAACCCAACTTCACCTCATCTTCTGCAGGTTTTCCTGAAGTACAACAAAGGCATAGAGGGTAAACAAACTCAGCCTCACAAAGTGAAATGTTTTTGTTTCCCTGTTATTTCGCAGTCACAACAACACTTAAGTGAATGCACCATTCAACCTGGTTCAAATGGTGCATTAAATCAAAACCCTGATCCATATATATATATATGTTTTATAAAACCTTTGGAGCAACTGTGGTTAAAGCTGAATTCATCCTAGGCCAGAGAATTTCCACTTGATGTTTTGGTTATCTGATTTGATGTTTCCATGCTTTACAACCACATGCAAGCGGTAAAACTCTGTTCGTGTCATATTTTTAACATCAATAAAATGTCTTCTGCTGGACACAATCCCAAACCGATCCGCATCTTGTCTGATTTTCAACACTTATTTACCAATACAGTTAAAGACATTTTGGTTTTTTTGGAAGTCATATTCATCATTGATTTTGGTTGGGGAAAAGTACATTGATTTATCACTGCTTGTGAGCTCCCATCTACAGTTTCCATGTAACTGCCTCTACAGTCGTGTTGTGGCGCTGCATATGTGGCTTCAGGCTACATGCAGCTCTTTTAACTTTGTCTTTGTGAATAACTTTGCCCTTTTCTGGAAACGTTACGAAGCCTATCGTCCAGACGGATTACACCCAAACAGATACGGTAGCAGCCTGTTGATGGATTACATACGTTACGTTGTTCAGTGCTCCCCGAGGGGGGCGTGACTGTTTACATCTGAGCCCCCTCGGACCCCACCGCACTCCCCCGCCTCCTGCTCACCAGCACCGGGTGAGTACAACGGTGCAAACACTGCTCCCTGTCCGTCTGGCAGTGCATTACCAGTCCAAACACTGAACTGTGCTGACTCCCTTCTGACTCTGGGAGCTAAAGAACAACAACAAGGGTTTTCACATTTTAGGCCAATTGAGACTGTGTGTGTTCCTCGCACCAGCTCAAAAATGTTTTTAAATTCTAAAAAACGAAATCAAAACAGGACAGCAGTTAGACGGTCCAACTCTGCAAATCTAATTTCTGTTCCCTGTAGAAATCAATCAACCACATTAATCGACTCTGACGTTATTTTTAAACTTGCTATGCTTAATGTCAGATCTCTATGTAACAAATCATTTTTAATTAATAATTTTATCACTTCTTATGATCTTGATTTTATGCTTATGGCTGAAACATGGCTCGACCAAAATACAGGAAATGCAGTTCTAATAGAAGCAACACCACCCAATTTTAAATTCGAATCCGAAATACGAGAAAACAAAAGGGGGGGAGGCATAGCTGCAGTTTTTAGAGAGCACTTTGTCTCCCATAGAATGCCCCTTGGAAATTTTTCATCGTTTGAGTATATTTCTTTTAAAATGGAACAAAAGCAATCTTCTACTCTTTTCATTGTCCTGTACAGGCCACCACAGTCATGTTGCGATTTTATTGACCATTTTACTGAACTACTTTCATTCGTGTGCACAGATTTTGATAGTTTAGTTATTACAGGTGATTTTAATGTACATGTTGATAATGTTGATGACAGAAATGCAAAGGAGCTGGCTTCTGTATTTGAGACCTTTGGTTTCATTCAGCACGTGAGTGGCCCCACCCACAGCAGGGGGCACACTCTTGACCTGCTAATTACAAAGGGGGTTAATGTATCAAATGTTAATGTAGTTGATGTTGCTTTGTCAGATCATTTCTGTGTATTTTTTGACATGTGTTTTGCTAGCAAACCACCAGCTGAATTTACAAATGTTAGAAGAAGACACAACTCCATGCTCTACTGTTGATGAATTGTATAACTCTGTCACCACCAGTGTTCTGACTGTTCTGGACGCCATTGCTCCTGTGACGGTTAAAATAGTTACCAGTAAGAAAAAGGCCCCATGGACTAAGGCAGACTCGGTTAGGGCACAGAAGCAAGAGTGCCGGAGGGCCGAACGGAAGTGGCGAAAGTCCAATTTCCAGGGCGATTATGAAATCTTTAAAGATGAGTTGGGTGAATTTAACCGGGTTCTACGTAGAACAAGAGAAATGTATTTTTCTGACATTATTGGAGGTTGCAGTAACAATTTTCGTGTTATGTTTTCAACAGTTGGTAGATTAACGAACCCCCCTGTAAAGTTGCCCCTAGAATTTTCCTCTAAATCTAGGTGTAATGAGTTCGCACAGTTTTTCGATGACAAAGTACAAGGAATCAAAAACACTATCACCTCCACAGCACGTATAACAATGCAACAGCCAGAGAAGCTTTTTGAGCTAACTCACTTTGCACCTGTGGATACTGAAACTGTCAAAAAGATAATCATGAGTCTGAGCTCCTCCACATGTAGCCTGGATATATTGCCCTCTAAATTTCTGAAGTCCGTCCTGAGCAGTTTGTTACCTTCACTGACACAAATAGTAAACATGTCTCTGTCGTCAGGAACATTTCCTATGGCCCTAAAAACAGCAGTCATAAGACCTCTCCTAAAAAAGAGCAGTCTGGATCCTGCGGGACTTCAAAATTATCGCCCCATATCGAATCTGCCATTTATTGGAAAAATTCTTGAAAAAGTGGCCTCCCAACAACTTACTGAATTTTTAACAATGAATAATTCTTTTGATATGTTCCAGTCTGGGTTTAGACCCCACCACAGCACTGAGACCGCTCTAGTGAAGGTAACAAACGACATTCGACTTCACACTGATGCAGGTAAAGTCACAGTTTTGGTCATGTTAGATCTTAGTGCCGCGTTCGACACTGTCGACCATGAGATCCTCATGCAGAGACTGGAGGACTGGGTTGGTGTCACTGGCACAGCCCTAGACTGGTTTAGGTCTTACCTGGAGGATAGGAAGTACTCTGTGGAGATTGGAGTCTGCGTCTCAGATGATGTGGCCCTGACCTGTGGTGTACCACAGGGGTCGATCCTGGGACCTCTCCTATTTAATCTCTACATGCTGCCGTTAGGTCAGTTAATACAAAGAAACAAAGTGTCCTACCACAATTACGCTGACGACACTCAGATCTATGTCTCACTGACTGCAGGAGAACATGGACCACTGGATTTGCTCCTTCACTGTATCCAACAGATCAGTGACTGGATGCAAAATAATTTCCTCCAGCTAAATGCAGACAAAACCGAAATCATTGTCTTTGGTCCCCAGAAACAAAGAGAGGGCGTCATTTGTCAACTTCAGTCTCTCTCCCTACTTCCTTCAGACAAGGTCAGAAATTTGGGGGTAATACTGGACTCAGACCTAAATTTCAATAGCCACATAAAATCAATAACATCAACAGCTTTTTACCATCTGAAGAACATTGCCAAAGTTAGAAATATAGTGTCCAGGGCAGACTTGGAGATTCTTGTCCATGCATTTGTCTCCAGCAGGCTAGACTACTGCAATGGCCTGCTTACAGGTCTGTCCAAACAGACCTGTAAGCAGCTGCAGTACATCCAAAATGCAGCAGCTAGAGTCCTGACAGGAACCAGGAAGTATGACCATATTAGTCCGGTCCTCAGGTCTCTGCACTGGCTTCCTGTGGCTCAAAGAATAGATTTTAAAACGGCTCTGCTTGTGTACAAGTCTCTCCATGGCCTTGCACCAGAATACATTAGTGACATGTTGGTGTCATATGAACCGGCCCGGACTCTGAGGAGCACAGGGACTGGCCTCCTGCTGGTGCCCAGAGTGAGAACCAAACATGGGGAGGCTGCGTTTCAGATCCATGCAGCTAAGATCTGGAACAATCTCCCTGAAAATGTGAGGGAGGCGTCTACTCTGTCAATGTTCAAATCCAGGTTAAAGACTGTTCTGTTTGCCTGTGCATATAACTGAAGGATTTTATCTCCATTTTTAATGCACTGCTGTCATTTATTTATTTTTTTAAATTTCTTGTGTAATTTTGAAAGTTTTAATGGTTTTATTCTTTTGTGTGATTTTAATGTTTTAATTGTGTTTTAATCTTTTGTGTGATTTTAATGTTTTAATTGTGATTCTGGTGTTTGTTTTATGTGATGATTTGTGATGTGGACTGTGAAGCGCTTTGTGTTGCCCTGTGTATGAAAGGCGCTCTACAAATAAACTTTGATTGATTGATTGATAATTATAGTGAACAGCAAATACAATTCCTGTAAGACATTTAAAGAAACTGAGTTGTATAAAATAGATGAAAAGCAGTTCCATTACAATTGTATCAATGGAATAAACCACACCATCATGCAAACTTCAGACAATACTGCAAGTATTTGCTTGTCACCTAATGACGGTCTTTTGAATGAAACTTGTTGAGACTCAGTAAGGTCTATTAAGACATGCCTCAGTCAATATAATGCGGCAAGAATAATGGGTTTGGACTTAAGTCGAAAACGGTTCTTGATGCGTTAAAGTCTCTGGATGTGTCTTGATGTGACGCCTCAGTTTTGCAAATAAATTGTTTCTCTTTTTTAACTCAACAGTGCCTTTCATTGTTATATTATGATTATGGATGTGCTATTGTATTGTAATAGTATTCACCTTTGACTTTCAGTCCTAGTAGTTTCTGTCTCTCGGGAAGCACTCCTGTCAGAGATTTGATGGATTGTTTGAGGTCCATGACAGTGTCCTCTTCAGACAGAGAGGTGATGGAGTACTCCTGACCTCCCCACTTTATGATCACTGACACTGACATGACGCACGCGGGATGTATACGACATAAACAGCAGCTGCACACGGACTGAAACCACACAGACTGCTGCTTTCACCGATATCCCGAATCTGCATCAATAGAAACATGCAAACAAGCGTTAGAAATAAAACGTTACCTCAGTCAATTTTCTATCTGCAAAATTGAACTGGTCAATTAACAGCTAATAATAATACATTCACCGGCAGAAAATATGTCTAACAACATGTGTCACTTTTGTACAAGATATAAATGATTCTGGCGGAATGCATTAATATTTTTTCCCTAAAGCTAAATGTAATATTAGCTATCCACGGTGGTATTTGTAGCATTGAGAAGCTATGCTGTTTCTATAAAGACAACCGTATCACAAGCCAACGAGCCCACGTGAAAACACCAAGCAATGATATGTCTCTAGTCTTACCGTCTACGGTTGCTCACAATGCTACAGCAGTCAAACTGTGTGGTTTATTAGTATTTTAGCTCAAACAGCAGAAGTTTCAGCACACTTCCATTCATAGGGATGCGGTCTGTTGTTTCTTCCTGGTGTCCCGAAAAGTTCCGGAAGTGACGCAGCGAACGATTTGATACCATAGCAACGGCACTACGCTGGCAATTTCTCCCCTCACACCTGCATCATCTGGAATAATGAATACATCTTAAAAGGCAAAAAAATCAATCTTCGAATCAACATGGATCGAAAAAGGTATAATTACAGTTTCCAATTTAATAGACATCCATGTCAATATGATAATTTTCTCTCAAAGTTCCAGTTTTCCATCATGTACAAACAATACAAAGCTATCACACAATGCATCCCCGAGGGATTGTTACACTTACTGAGAGCCTCACAACTCACTCCAACCATAATGACCACAAAGCTTTTTCTCAATGGACTGGACTTCACAAATCCCAAATGCAACAATAAACATATCAGACAAACCTTCCAAAACACAAACCTCATTCAACCCAGAGGAAACTTTTTTTTTTTTGGAACTCCACCTTCTGCAATATAAAATGGCATAAAAGACATGGCTATTACCCTTTCAATTCCCCATCAACAACAAAATACGAAAGAAACTCATCTCAAAATCCTACACAATATATTTACCCCACAAACTCTGAAGTATCAACATTCATGAACATAGATCCAAACTGCTCCTTTTGCAACACAGTACCAGAACTTATTCAACATTTATTCTACTCATGCCCACTCATCACACCTTTCTGGCAAGCTAAGTCAATTTCTATCCCAAAAACAAAATACCTACATAACTATCTGTGACAGAAACAGTATCACCCATTTTTTCCACCAAAACAATAAAATTGAAAGAATCACCAACATATTCATATTATTTGGCAAACACCACATACATAGAAGCAAATACAACAAAACCAAACCATCCTTCCGAGCAGTCAACTCCGAAATCAACAACTACATTAAATCTATAACCCTTATAAACAGAAAAAAACAATAACTCCACAGTCAAATTATTCGAAAACTTTATACATCAACCATAGAAACTCATGACTCCCTTTAACTTTCAATATTTATTCTTTTTCTCTCTAATATGTCATTAAAGTCATAAATTCATATATAATACCTTATTTCTTAACACACCCATTATGAATGTCATTTGTTTCTGTATATAATGTAAATATTTGTGTTTTGTCATTGTTTGCATCGCTGTATATGTATATTGTCTTTTTTGTAAAAAAATAAAAAAATAAAAAAATAAATAACGCCACTACGCTTGCTTGATGTGTCACAGCCATGTGATAAATGTTTATAAAAAAATGTATGTTGTTTGCGTGCTCTCGCCCCAACTTCAAAGAGCCGTTGAATGGCGCTACTTCAACACTAGCTACTTATTGTGTCTGACATTATAACGTTACACATGACAACACTGTGAATACAACTGTAAATAGATTATAGTAAAATATACACTCAAGTGCGTTGTCCTTAGAAAGTGCGCGGGTACACCGTATATCCACATACATATTCATGTATCTGAAGCTCTTCAGTTGCAGGTTCGAGGTGCGCATGCGCAGCACATCTCCGGACCAGCGCTTGCTAATGGCTGTCGCTGAGATGATCGGATGGGCCACATCCTTTGAGTCCGAGGCGCTCCCTTCTAAAGGACCGTTAGCTCGGCCAACGCCGAGTTAAAATGGTGTTATATAAGCGGGAAAGTACCAAATATTTGTAAAATACATCGCAAGTCTCGCCTTTTAAATGTAAGTTTTTCTTCTATGAGTACTTTTGACTATGCACCTTGGTTAGCTTGTGTGGAAATACCTCCGTGGGTTTGCTAGCGCTGTTGAGCCAAACGATCTGAGTTAGCGTTTAGTTGTTTATAAGTTGGTTCAGTGACGCGACACAATTGTGGATGCAGACTGCTCACATTACACTGTAGCATATGCTCTGGTTGTGTTGAGCAGTTGTTGAATGTGGCTAATGTTAGCTTGAGTTGTTGGCACTGTGCCTGTGTGCTCTCTGCAGCTCTTTGCGCCCACTCGGCACGTACACTTCAGAGCTGTGTTCTTCTTCAGTCTGGTTCGGACACTTGTTGTTATCCGATGGTCGTGCGAGAGTACTGATATCTCAGTACTCTCATTTATAGCTAGTTTGTAATGCATAAGTTAGTAGTTTGTTCTTAAATTGCACTGCGGCTGGATGAGGCTCTCCGCACACGGGACTGGGGTTACTAGAGTTCATATGCGCCACTATCGCTGCAGCATCCATGTAGCTTAGTGCTTCTGGTTATGAGGCTCAGTAAATGCATGTGTTATTGTTGTCGTTTAGGACTGACTCAAACTCATGGGTGCAGTGATTATATATATATATAGCGTTGGATCGCAGTTGGTTATGTAACATCCTATTATTCAGTGTAGTGATCTCTGTCTGCCTATATATAGTCTTAGTTATGTAATGTTAGGATGCTGTCCCATTCGGTGGATCAAGTAAAAGTAATCTCATCCTAAAATAGTATGTTACAATTAAAGCAGCGTGTCTGATGTATTGTAAATGTATCATAAATCCCATCTACAGTCTGTCAATGGCGTTTCTGCACCTGACTGATAAACCTCAGAGCTCAGTATTCTGTTTATACCTGGTCCCGGAAACCAGGCACAGCTTAAGGGAGAAGGCAAGGGCTTTAGATATCTGTGAAAGTGAAATATATATGCAAATATTTATTATCATCTATACGTCCACTGCAAGATTCATTTTTAAAAGTTATAAAATGCATGTAATTAATTTATTTTAGTTTTTTTATTTCAGTCTTTTCTCAATTTACTGTGAACTGAATATAGGCAAGGCACGTTTATTCGTATAGCTCTGTTCATACATAAGGTAACTCAAAGTGCTTAACAAAACAAGAATATAAACATTAATCACAGTACAGTAGAACGAGTGAAGTTGTATGCACAGCTAAACGGAACAGTTTTTAACTTGGATTGGAACATCATCAGAATAGAAGCCTGTCTCACATTTTCACTAAGACTGTACCTGATTTTAGCTGCATTCATCTGAAATGCTGCCTCCACATGTTTAGTTCTGACACCCAGCACCAGTGGGAGTCCAGTCCCTGTGCTCCTCATAGTCCCAGCAGGAGGCCAGTCCCTGTGCTCCTCATAGTCCCAGCAGAAGGCCAGTCCCTGTGCTCCTCATAGTCCCAGCAGGAGGCCAGTCCCTGTGCTCCTCATAGTCCCAGCAGGAGGCCAGTCCCTGTGCTCCTCATAGTCCCAGCAGGAGGCCAGTCCCTGTGCTCCTCATAGTCCCAGCAGGAGGCCAGTCCCTGTGCTCCTCATAGTCCCAGCAGGAGGCCATTCCTGGTGTTTCCTCCGAGTTCGAGTTGGTTCATATGGCACTAACATGTCAGATATTTTGATGTGAGGCCATGGAGACACTTGTACACAACCAGAGCTGCTTCAAAGTCTATTCTATATAATGTTGTTAGGAAGTTTGTGGAATTAAAATGTGGTGATGATTCTTTTTCCCCTTTGAAAAAAATACATTGTAGACTTATTGAGAGGAATGTCATAATGCAACATAATTTTCCTATTGCGTTTTTGTTTTCCCGCCCCGTGCAGAGTACCAGTGGTCAGTTCAGCCTGCCTAATCTTGGACCATGGCGCTGAAGGACCGTGTGGAGTCCGTGTTGAACGTGGGCCTCCGCGTGCCCAGTATCATGCTGCTGGACGTTCTCTACCGCTGGGACGTCAGCTCTTTCTTCCAGAAGGTCCAGAGATCGAGCCTCTCCAACAACCCCCTGTTTCAGTACAAGTATCTGGCCCTTTACCTGCACTATGTAGGTCAGTACTTGTTTCCACACGCTCAGAAACATGCACTATCTTTAGAGGAAGCTACCATTCTAGAGCATCCATCTTATCTCTTATCACATGAGCTTCAACTAACAGACTGAGAGGCAAAGTATAGTTGTGTGCACTGCGACAACTGGTGACATTTAGCTATTCCAGCCTATTTGTGTTGGAGCAGTTTGCTGACACAAGGATTATTAAACTTTCCCAGTTCAAATGCATGACTAATTTTCACTTAAAGCCCCCTTTGTTTTGTGCCGTTTTCATTTTTTTTTTGGTGTATTATTTATATTATTTACAAATTAATAAAATGCGAGAAGGACTAAATAACAAATTACACTGATACATCTTTGTAATGTTGTGACTCTTCCCAATAAAATCATAAACAAATAAAAATGCTCAACTAAACTCCTGACTTAAATGAATAGTAGAAAAATATCTTTGAGTTTATGAGTTAAAGCAGCTTCCTGGGAGTTCCCTTTTACAAAGCACTTTCAAATCATAGAAAACTCGTAAAGAAAATGGGAATGTAAGTTTGTTTTTTAAATAAAGATACTTTAATTGAGTTGGATAATTTATAGTTTTTCTTAATTTAAGACAAAGACAAGGCATTTTTCTCTATGCTTGATATAAGACGATCCACATTTTTATTGCTATGTGAGTAACATGGGGTCACAAACTAGGTAATTGCTTTGGCTTTCGGTGCAAACAAGTCCTAGAAGTAAAAATAGAATAAGACATGCATATAAAGTACTAAAATCTACATAACATTTATATTATACACTCTACTACATACAAGTGCAATGAAAATTGAATTATTTTTTTATCAGTTATTTTTTGTCGTATTTGTGCAGTGCCTGAGATCAGCTGGTAAAATGTAAATCAGGGTCATACAATTTGTTCTCAGTGTCAGAACAAATTATTTATTAGAACTGGCTAATACCAGTACTTATTGAAAGATGACTGTTTATATTTTCAAGCCCCTGAAATTATAGTTATTGCTTCAGAAGTAATTTTGGCTCCGGGCTGCGGTTGGAACTCAGCCACCAGGATCGGAATGTGCCGTTAAACCCAGAGGCAAACAAACCAAACTGTTTCACATTTAATTTTCTCGTTCTTTCTCACATTTTGCTTGTTTGGTGTTTTAACCCAGTTTTTTTTTTTTGTAGGTTACATCCTGAGCCTGGTGCTCCTCACTCTGCCTCGCCAGCACCTGGTGAAACTGTATCTGTACGTCCTCACTGCGCTGCTTCTGTACGCTGGACACCAAGTCTCAAGGTAGACGCTCAATTTTCGAGTAATAACAAACCATGCAGCCTTGGATGGACAACATAGTATTTATAGATCAGTAAAGTAGAGCATTCTGTGTAGATATTATATGTACTTTTAATGTTGTTTTTGTTTGCACCTTACATTTTCTGGAAATCTCAAAGAGCTATAGATTAAAATACAATACAGCAATGTAATTAAAGTATTATTATTATTATTATTATTATTATTATTATTATCATTCTGGATTTTATTCATTATTTTGAATTGTCCTTAGTCGTTTTCCATCCATCTTCAGTGAGATTCTCTCTTAACAATTATTAAGATAATTCATTAGTTGTTCAGATCCTGAAAGTTTAGTGAATATGGAACTTTTTTATGCATTTGACCAAAACAAAGCAAAGAAGTGATGCCCCTGGAGAACGTCTTCATAGGTCAAGGTCAAGTTTATTTATATAGCACATTTTAAAAACAGACAGTACTGTCACAAAGTGCTTACCAGACATTATTAAATACAACACACAAATAAGATGCAGCATAAAAATAAAATGCAGGACACTATCATAAATGTTTCACTATTGCTTGTGTTAAAAAGCCAAAGCAAAGGAATGTGTCTTTAGCTGCGATTTAAAGCGCTCTACAGAGGGGGCAGCTCTGATACTCTGCTCTGAAAGGCTCGGTCTCCTGTGGTCTTTAATCTAGACCCGGGACAGTGCAGAAGAAGCTGGTCAGAGGACCACAGTGCTCTTCCCGGAGTGTGCAAAGTAAGCAAATCAGTGAGATATGATGGAGCCAGGTCATGCAGAGATTTAAATACTAACAATACAATTTTAAACTTAATTCTAAAAGCGACAGGAAGCCAATGTAGAGACGACAGCACTGGAGTGATGTGCTTGTGTCGTCTGGTGCCAGTCAGCATCTGAGCTGCATAGAGGCGGCTTGTCACACATTGGGTTATGTGATTAGAATACTTTGTAAATATATTCATCATGCTGTCATTGTAGATCTATCGGACTCTCAAGGTCTCTTCTCAGCTTGTTCAATCTATCTAAGACAAAAAACACTTGCTAGCGCTTGTGCTTCACAGGGAGGTCTTGGGTTCATTTCCACCTCCAGGCATTTTTGTGTGGAGTTTGCGTGTTATCCCCATGTTTGCTTATGTTTCCTCCATGTGCTTCGGTTTCCCCTGCTACTTAAACATGTATAATACTTCCCCATTACACCCTCAGCGACCCCACTCTCTGAGTCCAGGACTCTGACCACTATTTCAATAAATCTATTAGTTGTGATTAATGTTACAGCCCTAATTATGTCATTGTAAAAGAACAATACAACCCAAAAATGCATCGTCAAAAGAACACATTTATGCTCTGAGCTCAAGAAAAAGTGCGGCACACCCGAAACTGCGATGCCAGTGAACGATAAGACTTCTACTGTTTCATTTTGTGTTCTGACGCTGACAAAAGCTTAGACCAGCACCAGTTCTGTCGCTGGTGTTTGGTATCTGGTCCAACGCTGACGTAATGACTGCATGGTGCATTGGTTCAGGACATCTGGTTGGTTTGGGGTTCGGGGGAATCATTAAGACTATTTTATGGGCCAAGCTGTTAACTGGAAAGTCTATAATTTTTCCACTTGGGTTTAGACAGTTATAAGGAGAGTCTTTGCTCTGGTGATGTTTTGCAGAAGCTCGAGGCCTTTGTTTTATGCAGACTTTCTCTTCATATACAGTCTTAGTAACTGGAGCCTTGTTTTTACCTCACTGTACATGTAGCTTGTGTGAAAGAGGAAGGATGTTGCTTTGTAAATTGATCGGCTCAACCTTTCTTTGTCAGGGATTACGTCCGCAGTGAACTGGATTCAGGCAACGAAGGACCGGTCTACCTGGAGCCTCTCTCCATGAACAGATTCACCACTGCACTCATAGGTATAACATTACCACTAAAATAAGCATGTAAGACAAGCTAATGTTTACCATAACGCCCACAGAGTCTGTTTTGTCGTCTTGGGAAAGTCACGACCGATTTTTCTGCTTTGTCCCCTTTTCTTTTTGTTTTGGGACATTGTAGGCAACTGTAATAATATAATGGCATGATGCAATGTGTAAGCTTACATGTACTGTAGCTTACATGTACTGTAGCTTACATGTACTGTAGCTTACATGTACTGTAGCTTACATGTACTGTAGCTTACATGTACTGTAGCTTACATGTACTGTAGCTTACGTGTACTGTAGCTTACGTGTACTGTAGCTTACGTGTACTGTAGCTTACGTGTACTGTAGCTTACATGTACTGTAGCTTACATGTACTGTAGCTTACATGTACTGTAGCTTACATGTACTGTAGCTTACATGTACTGTAGCTTACATGTACTGTAGCTTACATGTACTGTAGCTTATATGTACTGTACTAATTTACAACTGTTTTCTTAGAAATATATTTTTTTATAGTTTTCTTTTTCAGTCATATATTCAACAAACAGTACAAGCAGTTATTTGAACAAAAAATAAGAGAAAAGATTAAATGAAATAGATAAATAAGAAACGTAAAAAGTGTTTGGATGCATATTAAAATGACAAATCCCAATTTCAGTGATTTCATTTATTTATTTATTTTTGGCCATGTTTTATGTTACTACTTTGACCGTTTAACAAAGGTTTTGTTTTTTGATTAAATGTTGTTACAGGGGTTCTAATTTACCAGTCACCTTGATGGATGTGTAGGTTGTGCTCATGTGACATCGCACCATTCCTAAATGCCTAAAGTTTTAAAGTGTGTTGGAGGGGTGATGAAAAACCTTTCCCGGTAACTGTCAAAAGTCAGAATTATATGCCAAAAAACTGTTACAAAGTCCCATATCAATCTTTGTTTTACTCATCAATGGTAGTCTAATTATTTTGTTATGATTGCCACGGTTGCGTTCATGTTCTAGAATTCTATTTTAGCTAAAGGGCAGGGGCTTATTCAGCTCTATGGGAAAGAAGCATTTTTAAACTGGTCAACATCATGGATACGTATGTGGAATGGAAATAGAAAGCATTGGCCTTTGGGCCTGGAGGTCGTGAGTTCGATTCCCACCATGGGACCTACTCCAACTGCTCCCACTGATGACTGCTGTCGTTGTGTCCTTGGGCAAGACACTTAACCCCACATTGCCTGAAGCCCCCCGCTGAAAGATCAAGGCTGTTTCACAATTGACGGAGCAGCCATCTTCCTGTGGACTCACCCCCTGCAGAGGATCATTGCCACCCCCCCGACCCAGAAATGGACAAAGGGGTTGAAAATGAAATGAAACAAATGCGTTTCGACCAATCAGGTCTTCATCAACTATCAAGGATTTTTTCTTTAAAGTCAGTTGTGCCTCGGTTCTTCCCTTCAAAATTTTTCATTTTTCATTTGGATCCTGAACCCAGCATACAGCAGCGCTCACTTTCCCTCTTATCATGTGTATGTTCTTTGAATACTGTCAGCACTTCTAGACATCTGAGAAAATACTTGGAATACAGTTGACATGTGCAGACAAAGAAGATGTGGAACTTTGTGACAGTTTTGGTTTCATATGGACTGGCCCAGGGATGACAAAGATATTGGCTTCAACTCGTTGTCTGGAAAGATTTTTCAGCCACTCTCCACCACAATTTTAAACTAGGCTCCTTAGAATGTTGTGATGTCACATGAACGCACCCTAAAGAGAATTGAGAATCAAATGTGTTTGACACTACTTAAAAGGTCATGTGCACATTAACCAAACCAAAAATCTTTGTTTTCAGCTCAGTTGGTGGTCTGTACGCTCTGCTCCTGCGTGATGCAAACCAAGAGGATCTGGCTGTTCTCTGCTCACCTGCTCCCTCTTGTGGCCAGACTGTGTCTTGTGCCCCTCGAGACCATCGTCTTCATCAACAAGTTTTCCATGATCTTCACCGGCCTGGAGGTCATTTACTTTCTGGCCTCCAACCTACTCGTTCCATACAATCTTGCAAAAACTGCCTACCGTGAGCTGGCTCAGGTAAACCACCGTCTTGTGCTTTGTGTTACTGGTTTTAGCTAACAAGTTCTTAACTTAACAAAAATCTTAACTTTCATTATACAATTTTTGTTATTTTACATTATTATTCACATGCATGTTTGTTATGTCTATGAGTCGATCAATCAAGTGTATTTTTATTGCACAGTTCATACAACATGCAACCCAAAGTGCTTCACATAGACATTTAAAAGTAGATAAGATAAGACAGACTCTCACTGGAGAAATGAACATGTCACATTTGGAATAGATAGAATCACACAAAGGCATCCAGTAAATTAAAACGCACTGTAAAACACATACTAAAGGCAATTTAAAAACCACGGAACCCCGAAGACTTCTAGTTAGTGGCCTGTCTCATTTCTTCAGGTGAATTGTTTTAGATTTTGGGTCTAAGACAATATTGGTCGCCCTCTGCAGGTGGTGGAGGTGTACGGCCTGCTGGCTCTGGGCATGTCTCTGTGGAACCAGCTGGTGCTGCCGGTTCTCTTCATGTGCTTCTGGCTCGTGCTGTTCGCTCTGCAGATCTACTCCTACTTCAGCACCCGCGACAAGCCCACGTCCCGAGAGAGGCTGCTCTTCTTCTTCCTCACCAGGTCAGAGCTTTGCATGTGTCTGGTCAACTTTTTTGCACCAAACCTGGACCAAAACATGCTGAGAAGTAGTTTTATGACACTGACAGAGCTATAATTACTACAGAATAAATAAATGTAGCTCAGTTGGTTGAGCATTGGCCTTCAGGCCTGAAGGTCGTGGGTTCAATTCCCACCTCTACCTTCTCCACCGACTCCCACTGATGACTGCTGTCATTGTGTCCTTGGGCAAGACACTTAACCCCACTTTGTCCAAAGCCCCCACTGAAAGATCAAGGCTATGCTCACACTCAGAGAGCAGCCGTCCTCCTGTGGACTCACCACCTGCAGAGGGTCAGTGAGGGGCTGGTGCTATGAGACTTGGGTGGCATCTCTGACTGCCACCCCCCTGACCCAGAAATGGATTAAAGGGTAGAAGATGGATGGATGATGCGTGTACTGTGTATTTGTATGTACTGTATGTAAAGATACCAGGTCTTTTCCTTGTGATCAATGACATGGAATTGTTTTCAAAAAGTATTTCTAATCAAACAACCAATTATGTTAAATCTAGTCTCTATGAAGATGTTCTCGAGTGACATTTCTTTAGCTTAATTTACTAAAAGGCAAATAATGATGGCTCTATGGTAGGGCTGTAACAACAAACACATGTTGGTGGCAACTCTCATATTCTCTGCCTTTTCATGTTCGAAACAACCAATCAAAAGAATAACCTATTATCAAAATAGTTATGAATCTAAAACTCCACTAGTAACTTAAGTGCTGGGTTAAGTAATCCTCTATGTGTCCTGGTACGTGCATAATCACCATGGCGACCAGTGTTAAAAGTTTACTGAGTCGCTGTTATGCACAAAAACAAAATTTTTCCGGAATTTGAATGACTTTTTGATCAACCCGATTAACCAGCTCTTTTAGTTGAGCAAAATTTGTTGGATATAAGAAGTCTGTGTGGGGAAAAAAAGGCAGCGGCAATATTATAATACAATTACAATATACATCTCTGTGATGACAAGGATATTTCCAAATGTCACACTGTACTTTACTCCCATTTCACACTTCATTCTTAGATGCAAAATAGTGCTCAAAATATACAAAAATAAAGACATTTTAAGCAATGGCGTGTAAATGCTAACTGCTTGATTTCTTGGTCCAGTGTTGCAGAATGCTGTAGCACTCCGTACTCTCTGCTGGGGCTGGTCTTCACTGTGTCCTTCATCGCTTTGGGAGTTTTGACTCTGTGCAAGTTCTACCTCCAGGGATACAGGGCCTTCATGAACGACAACACCATGCACCGGTGAGACACACACGTTTAGACATGAGTTAAATTGTTTTAACAAACTTGTTCAGATAATGTTGGTGAAGCAGACATGGTTAACATTTTCTTTCTAATGTTCATAAGAAATAGAATACATTTATATATGAGACTTTAAATGAATACACATAATGCTAAATAACGCCTGCAAAATCGACCTGCCCCACCCCAATGCTACCACCAGAGGGAGGTGTCGCGTGTGTTTTCTTCCCCCAAATTTGAAAATTACCGGCTGCAACCACAACCACTGTAAAGATTTTTATTTCACTTGAGAAATTGACAAATTAATTTAGAGTCAATACTTTTGTTTTAAACTGCAGCGAACTGCTCTGAACGTGATGTCATAGTGTACAATGACATCATGCTATTGCAGGACTGAGACGGGCGCTTTTAGAGAACAGGGTTGGAGTTGCAAGTGCCAGTATTAGCATGGTTTGATCGAAAAACAATGCAAAAATGCATTTATTGATATTACAACATGGAAAAAAGACCTGTGGAAATGTATTATATTATTTTTTGAGACCAAAGACCGGATAAATAATAACCCAAGTTGTGTTTAGCTCCATCCACGCTAATATCACAAACTTCAGGCTTAAATGGGCACAAACAATCCCCCACTCCTTTGAAACAGAAGTATCACTCTCACATAATTTTTGCAATTCATCTAGTCAAATTATGCTCTTTGAATCCATCTATTTTTGTATAGCCCTAAATCACAACTGCAGTCGTCTCGGAGAGCTCGATTCGCCAACAACAGATCAAAGAATCAAACCGTTGGAATTATTCAATGATTCTTTTGAGTTTTGTCTTGTGTGACTCGTGCAGGATCATGTTTAAGGGTCAAAATGAGCACATGATGCATAATGTTTGTTCTAGAAAGTGATGTGTGACCGTGTTTATAGGGGCATGACTGAGGGCATCACTCTCCTGATCCTGGCGGTTCAAACGGGTCTCATCGAGCTGCAGGTGATCCATCGAGCCTTCCTCCTCTCCATCATCCTCTTCATCGTCGTCGCTTCCATCCTGCAATCCATGTTGGAGATAGCAGACCCTATTGTTCTGGCTCTGGGCGCATCCAGAGACAAGTAAGAGCACTTAAAAAAAAAAAAAAGTAATCTTGGATAAAAAAACATGTTCAAATAATGTCTTGATATCGAGCCTTGATCCCAGTAAAAGTAAATGGGTCTATGTATTATTATTTACTGGCTGATTCAGGAGGTTTCAGTGGTGAGCATGGGCGGGTCTAACCAGTGCTTATCAAACTGTGAAGATTGGTTAGACCCACCCCTGCTCACCCCTGCAGCTTCCTGATTGGTCGATATTATTTAAAATCGATGCAGCTCCTTGATCACAGAGTATATGATAAAGCTTCCTCACTGCTGACATGTACTAAACCTCAGATAAGCCGTTACTTTTCCTCTGTCGGTGTCATGTCTCTCTAATGTATCACATGTGTCTCGCAGGAGTCTCTGGAAGCACTTCCGAGCCGTGTCTCTGTGTCTGTTCCTGCTCATATTCCCAGCGTACATGGCTTATATGATCTGTCAGTTCTTCCACATGGACTTCTGGCTCCTCATCATCATCTCCTCCTCCATCCTCACCTCTCTACAGGTAACACACACGCTCAGACTATGATTCATGTAACAGCTTTTCAATTCTGTAGAAGCGTTATTGAAATGAATGAATGGTGCAGGTGCTGGGGACTCTGCTGATCTATGTGCTGTTTATGGTGGAGGAGTTTCGAAAGGCTCCTGTTGAAAACATGGACGAGGTCATCTACTGTGTGAACGGCACATACCGGCTGCTGGAGTTCCTGGTGAGGCTCAGACTCGTTCATGGGAAACGCCGGTGTTTGGTCTTGCACTTGTATTGAAACCGTTTTTGTTGGAGACTGTTGCAAACGTATTCGAATGTGTTTTTTCTGCAAATGCCAAACAGAACTAGAAACTTGCAATGGCTGAAGCCATTGCGATTGACTGCGGAACAGATCTAATGTGGAAATCTGCTAAAAAAAATCCTTGAAATCCTTTAAAAGGCCTTGAAACTGTTAAAATACTTGATAGATATTTGAAACTCCTGAAGTCCTTGAAATTGTTGAAACCTTTAAACTCCTGAAATCCTTGAAACTGTTGAAACATTGAAACTCCTGAAATCCTTGAAACCCCTATTAAGTTCCATTATACTGGTTTATATGTAAAAAAAAAACCCTATTAAGTTGCATTATACTGGTTTACATGGAAAAATCCCCATTAAGTTGCATTATACTGGTTTACATGAAAAAAACCCTATTAAGTTGCATTATACTGGTTTACATGAAAAAAACCCTATTAAGTTGCATTATACTGGTTTACATGGAAAAATCCCTATTAAGTTGCATAATACTGGTTTACATGGAAAAATCCCCATTAAGTTGCATTATACTGGTTTACATGAAAAAAACCCTATTAAGTTGCATTATACTGGTTTACATGGAAAAATCCCTATTAAGTTCCATTATACTGGTTTACATGTAAAAAAAACCCCTATTAAGTTGCATTATACTGGTTTACATGGAAAAATCCCCATTAAGTTGCATTATACTGGTTTACATGAAAAAAAAAACCCTATTAAGTTGCATTATACTGGTTTACATGGAAAAATCCCTATTAAGTTGCATAATACTGGTTTACATGTAAAAAACCCTATTAAGTTGCATTATACTGGTTTACATGTAAAAACCCCTATTAAGTTGCATTATACTGGTTTACATGGAAAAATCCCTATTAAGTTGCATTATACTGGTTTACATGGAAAAATCCCTATTAAGTTGCATTATACTGGTTTACATGGAAAAATCCCTATTAAGTTGCATTATACTGGTTTACATGGAAAAATCCCTATTAAGTTGCATTATACTGGTTTACATGGAAAAATCCCTATTAAGTTGCATTATACTGGTTTACATGTAAAAACCCCTATTAAGTTGCATTATACTGGTTTACATGGAAAAATCCCCATTAAGTTGCATTATACTGGTTTACATGAAAAAAAACCCTATTAAGTTGCATTATACTGGTTTACATGAAAAAACCCTATTAAGTTGCATTATACTGGTTTACATGGAAAAATCCCTATTAGGTTGCATGATTACACTGAAGTCCTTGAAACTGCTGAAGTCCTTGAAACTGCTGAAGTCCTTGAAACTGCTGAAGTCCTTGAAACTGTTGAAGTCCTTGAAACTCTTGAAATCTTGAAACTGCTGAAATCCTTGAAACTGTTGAATCCTTGAAACTGTTGAATCATTGAAACTGTAGAAATGTCTGAAAGAGCTGAAGTCCTATTAAAATGCATGGGCCTATTAAAATGCATTGCAGAATTCTCAATGCAGATTTTTGTCCGATTGCGGAAAAAACCGGAAATCGCTGAAGTCCCAAAAGTAATAGCAATAATCTCCCAAACATGTGGAACGTTTTGATGTATAACTTGTGGAAATTGTTGAAAATGTGAAAGCTGTGAAACGTGTCAAAAAAAACTAGAAACTTGCAATGGCTGAAGCCATTGCGATTGACTGCGGAACAGATCTAATGTGGAAATCTGCTAAAAAAAATCCTTGAAATCCTTTAAAAAGCCTTGAAACTGTTAAAATACTTGATAGATATTTGAAACTCCTGAAGTCCTTGAAATTGTTGAAACCTTTAAACTCCTGAAATCCTTGAAACTGTTGAAACATTGAAACTCCTGAAATCCTTGAAACTTTTTTAAACCTGGAAACTGTTGAAAGTGTGGAAACTCCTGAAATCCTTGAACCTCCTGATATCCTTGAAACTGGTTAAATTCTTAAACAGCTGAAATCCTTGAAACTACTGAATGTATTGAAAGTGTCCTTGAAACTGAAAAATCCCCTCACCGCTGAAACAATTTGGTTCCTGTAACTAAGGAAACCTGGTCTGTGGTCATTATCTGGTGGTGGTCTGAGTCTTCGTTTGGGTCTTGGTCTGGTGGTATAATGCAACCTATTAGGTTGCATTATACTGGTTTACATGTAAAAAACCCTATTAAGTTGCATTATACTGGTTTACATGAAAAAAAAACCCTATTAAGTTGCATTATACTGGTTTACATGGAAAAATCCCTATTAAGTTGCATTATACTGGTTTACATGGAAAAATCCCTATTAGGTTGCATTATACTGGTTTACATGTACAAATCCCTATTAAGTTGCTTTATACTGGTTTACATGTAAAAACCCCTATTAGGTTACATTATAGTGGTTTACATGTAAAAATCCTTATTAAGTTGCATTATACTGGTTTACATGTAAAAACCCCTATTAAGTTCCATTATACTGGTTTACATGTAAAAACCCCTATTAAGTTCCATTATACTGGTTTACATGTAAAAACCCTATTAAGTTGCATTATACTGGTTTACATGAAAAAAACCCTATTAAGTTGCATTATACTGGTTTACATGGAAAAATCCCTATTAAGTTGCATAATACTGGTTTACATGGAAAAATCCCCATTAAGTTGCATTATACTGGTTTACATGGAAAAATCCCTATTAAGTTGCATTATACTGGTTTACATGGAAAAATCCCTATTAAGTTGCATAATACTGGTTTACATGGAAAAATCCCCATTAAGTTGCATTATACTGGTTTACATGGAAAAATCCCCATTAAGTTGCATTATACTGGTTTACATGGAAAAATCCCTATTAAGTTGCATTGTACTGGTTTACATGGAAAAAACCCTATTAAGTTGCATTATACTGGTTTACATGGAAAAAACCCTATTAAGTTGCATTATACTGGTTTACATGTAAAAACCCCTATTAAGTTGCATTATACTGGTTTACATGGAAAAATCCCCATTAAGTTGCATTATACTGGTTTACATGAAAAAAAACCCTATTAAGTTGCATTATACTGGTTTACATGAAAAAACCCTATTAAGTTGCATTATACTGGTTTACATGGAAAAATCCCTATTAGGTTGCATGATTACACTGAAGTCCTTGAAACTGCTGAAGTCCTTGAAACTGCTGAAGTCCTTGAAACTGTTGAAGTCCTTGAAACTCTTGAAATCTTGAAACTGCTGAAATCCTTGAAACTGTTGAATCCTTGAAACTGTTGAATCATTGAAACTGTAGAAATGTCTGAAAGAGCTGAAGTCCTATTAAAATGCATGGGCCTATTAAAATGCATTGCAGAATTCTCAATGCAGATTTTTGTCCGATTGCGGAAAAACCGGAAATCGCTGAAGTCCCAAAAGTAATAGCAATAATCTCCCAAACATGTGGAACGTTTTGATGTATAACTTGTGGAAATTGTTGAAAATGTGAAAGCTGTGAAACGTGTCAAAAAAAATGACGGAATAAAGAAATACAAAACCAATGGTTGACTGCGGAAGGTTCCGCAGTCAATCAATGACGGAATAAAGAAATACAAAACCAATGGTTGACTGCGGAAGGTTCCGCAGTCAATCAATGAATCTGTTTTGTCCTTTGGTTTGCAGGTTGCCGTGTGCGTGGTGTGTTACGGCGTGTCGGAGACTGTTTTTGGGGAGTGGAGTGTAATGGGCAGCACCATCATCCTGGTGCACTCCTACTATAACGTGTGGCTGCGGGCGCAGCTGGGCTGGCAGAGCTTCCTGCTCCGAAGAGACGCAGTCAACAAGATCAAGAGCCTCCCCACCGCCAGCAGCTCTCAGCTGCAGCAGTACAACGACATCTGTGCCATCTGCTACCAGGTACACGGCGTCCAGAGTCATTATCCCTGCTGTGTATGAGGACTGTCGCAGTAATCAGACTTAGATACAATCATGGCCTAAATTATCACCAGTGTTATCTCTTTATTAACCATAGCCCTGAATTTGTTTTTAAATTACACAAAACTAAAGCAAGACTTGAGTCACTTCAGAACTTCAAACTTTTTATCCTTTTCTGCTTTCTGATTAGATTTTTTTTTTCGTAAACATTGCGGCAATAATTTACATTCTTAAGATTTTATTAGAAATTTTGTAATTTATCCATCGAATATTGACCCTACAGATTTGACATGAGGTTTCATGATCCAAATTGTGTAAAAGAAAAGAATTTTTATTTTGTCACAACTCGTCTCTATGAAGTTTTATTTTAGTCAGATTAGAAAACGTCTTATTTAACTCATTGTGTCCCACTGACGCACAAATACGTCAAAGAAAATAGTAACGTCGTGTGCCATTGACGCATTAATACGTTAAATGCTTTTTCCGCTATTTTCACGTTCCCAAACGTCTATTGTATCTAATATGTATGGGGATGACTTGAGACCATATTTTATCGAGCCAGCAGGTGGCAGCATTTCTCTCTGAATGGTTTGAAAACAGTTAGGTGCACATGTTGTGCCTCTTTTTTCTCAACTTTCTGGTGATTTCTGGTGATTTCAGTAAAACTTCCCTCTACTCAACGGAGGATTACAGGGGAACGAAAAAAGCTATAAACAAAATTCTTTTTGCTGAGCAAAGTAGACAGTCCATTCTTTTAGAATCCGGTGTCGGATAGTCATAGTACACAATATTCTGTGGGTCTTGAAAAATCAGTAAAAATCATCAGAAATGGCTGGCACTGTGGGAGTACCTGTTCTGAAATAGGCTGGCATTCAATGAGTTAAAGGCTGTTATAATTACAGTCCGAATGCTCTACCGTCATATTTCTGTGTTTCTGTGTTTTGTAGGAGTTGAACAACGCTGTGATCACTCCCTGCAGTCACTTCTTCCACGCTGGCTGTTTGAAGAAGTGGCTGTACGTCCAGGAGACCTGCCCTCTCTGTCACTCACAGCTGAAGAGCCAAGCCCCTGGTCCACCCACCCCAATCCAGGACCCAGTCCAAGACCCAGTCCAAGACCCAGTCCAAGACCCAGTCCAAGACCCAGTCCAAGACCCAGTCCAAGACCCAGTCCAAGACCCAGTCCAAGACCCAGTCCAAGACCCAGTCCAAGACCCAGTCCAAGACCCAGTCCAGGACCCAGTCCAAGACCCAGTCCAGGACCCAGTCCAAGACCCAGTCCAGGACCCAGTCCAAGACCCAGTCCAGGACCCAGTCCAGGACCCTCATCCTGCCGGACAGGATCAGAGTGTGGCCAAACCCAAGCAGGAAGAAGACTCCTCCTCTTCACCAAATGGGCAAACAGACGGAAAGGGACCAGGACCAGAGGAAGACATTTTAAATACAGAGTCCAGAGAATCCCAAAATATCAAAATCACACCGTTACCCAACCATCTTTCTTCACAACCTGCGGAACAAGACATTTCTCCTCCCACTCCCTCACGTTTCCCTGGTGTGGGTTTCAAGCTAACGGCTAAAGCTACAGCAGCCACCTCTGAATCCGAGCCCCTCCCACATACAGATTACCCAGAATCTTCCTCCGAGTTGCCCTCACAGCTCGACCTTCTCCAAAAGAAGAGACAGTAGTATGAGCGAGTCCATATACTATCCAAAAAGGTCATAATCTATTTTTAGACGTCCATTATCCACTACAGACATCTATGGTTTGGTCTTAAGCTTGTGCTGGATATTTGGGGAGAGACTTGAATGAGCTTTTTCATTTACCAAAAGTGCAACAGGATCTTGTAATATCCACATTTGGGAGAGTGCAGTCTTTGTCCAGGAAATGTGAAATCCTAAAGAGAACCGAAGTATGTTTTTGTTTTGAAATCAGTCTCATGACAAACTCCTCTTTTTTCACTTTGCAGCATGTGCCATTGTTTAAACAAGTTATCATTTCACTTTCAATGAGTCTCGACTAGGGATGGGACGATACGAAATGTACACGGTATGATAACATGACGACATAAAATTGTGCTAAAAACTGATTTCTTACTGCTGCTTTTAGCACTGGTGCCACAACTGGTGTCAAAGATCAAAAATGAGTTCGAACAGTTTGTCTAATTGGACCTTTCTATGAATAATTATTGGCTGAACGTCATTTACTCAGTCATTATGTGTAGAAATATGCTAAATAACACAATTGGACCAATCAGGAGGAGCATGGGCGGGTCTAACCAGTGCTTGTCACTTAAAACCGCAGCTAGCTAATCATTTTGTAATAAATTAGCTGTGGTTTTAAAGTCATTGTCAGTTACTCTTCAAATTGTGAAGGCCAACACTGGTTAGACCCGCCCATGCTCTCCCCTGCTGCTCCCTGATTGGTCAATCTTTGCGGCTCCTGCTCATTGGTTGGCCTGCAAATCTTACTAGTCTCTTCACTTGTATCTGTTCTTATCAGCTATTTGCAGATGTTGTATTGGACATGAAAAGTTCCAGTGCTTCTAAACTGTGCAGAAAACAGAGAAAAAAAGACATTCATTTATATCACGGGCCAGACATGGTTTAAATCTTCCATCCTGTTTTTTTATATTGTTTGTGATATAATTAGACTATTCCGAAGATATACATTTGTGAAACTTTTTTCTCAAAGTAAATTTTACACTGTGACAGTATTGACCAATGCTTTATTACTGGTAATCGTCCCATCTCAAGTCGCTTTGAAAAAAATCCATGCCATCAGGTCCAGCGTGTGTCAAAGTATTCGCATATCAAGACATTTCTTTCATTTATTCACCAGATGAATGAAACTCAAGTATTATTTTCTTATCATGAATATTGCATTTCAAACTTTGGACCTATAAAAAATGAATAGTGCCAGTTCTGACAAAAGTCCACCTAAGCCACAGCGTCACTATTTTGTGGATAGAAAGTGGGGAAAAATATGTTTCAAACCCAAACGTCGCCAAAGGTCTCTATCTTAAGTCTCCTTGTTGCAAAATTTACAAATTTCTCATCCATCGTTCAAACCCGGCTGGTCCCGACAAAAAAACCTCCATTCCCATCGCCAAAACCTTTTGATACTGTTAAATCTACAAAGTTATTTTTACACTGCTTTTTATAAATTGTTGTTTTTATGGTACTTCTCATCTGGAGCAGCTTTAAATTCAATCTTATCATTTTTTTGAACCGTCATTTCGCTCTCATGGAAATAATCAAAACCTGTGTCCTTCACTCATATTCATATTCACGTCATGAATCAAAAGTGTGCTGCCCTGTCATTATTCTCGTCACTTGAATTTGTAGTGTCACTGTTACCAGCCAAATCGGGAGACTGAATTTACGGTCTTTTTGAGTGTTACAAATATGCTATAACCCAATGCACGCTTGTTTGTAGAGCTTGCCTAACGCCCATAATGGCATTTATTTACCTGTTACACTATGCTACCATGGCTATAATGTGCGTCTTTGCCTCACTCTTATCTTTCCCTCGGTCGCATTTGCACTAATGTTCTTTCTATACTAGCAAATCTCCAAAGCTGTAATAATGTGGCTTCCAGACTCTTTTTGTTTGTTTGTTTTTTCTCCCAAAATGTGTCTGTATACAATTATTTTCATGTTGTGTTTTCAAATCAAAATGTGTTCTCGATCGGGGTTGGTTTCCTTAATAGCTTTAATGACAAAAAGGCTTCAGGGAAATCAATCTGATGTCGATCGAGCAGATAATTTGACTGCCTGACCAGTCGATATGACGTGCTGTTACGTTGATGTGATCGCTCTAGTGCCCTCTTCGGGTAGGAGCAGGATCAGCGAGGCACTGACAGACTGGGAAAGGCACAAATCAGACAGTGTTAAACAATATCAGGACTATTCTTGACACAGTCTTACAGTTATGACTGACTTTTTATGGCATGCGCTGAGGCAGGACTACGTATGAATACATAATGTTTGTAGGATCGGTCCAACTCTGCACAATGCACTTATTTTGTGTTTTTTTTTTATTTTTTTGTGTGGAAAAGCTGAAATGTACACTTCAATGTATTTTGCACAAGTTTCTCAAAGAGGTGAGCACACAGCGTATTGTAGAATAACTTATTTTGATGCTCCAGTCTTCACCAATTGTACTAGTATAAAGTGAAGCACTTTTAGATCGTTAAAAGTATTTGACTAGATTGTTTTTTCAACGGAGCTTTTAAAATTTGGTCTCGCATGTGTTTCAAATCCCTGAATCTCCACAATGTTGATTTTGAGAGGACTAATTTTTACTTCCACTTCTTCTCATTGTAGAGAAGAACAAAGTCACAATTGGAACAGGGACAGTTTGCTACAGGAGAAAGAATTGTAAATTAAAGCTGGGGAACCGAATGCTTTTTCTTGTTTCATAAAATTTACATTTTGTTTTGTCAAATCAGACCACGACATGCAACTTTTTATTTCTAGAAAATGTATTCGCTTTTCCTGTGAGTCACAATTTGAAGCTTTGGGCTGAGAACCAGTGTAGCGCTCACTTTTCTTTCTGAAAACCCTGATTTAAAGATGTGATGTCGACCAAAATCATGATGACATTTTTTTTGTGGTTTGAAGGTTCCCCAGCTTTAATTGTCTCTGCGTGGTGGGATCTGAAAGAAGCTACCGTACTCACAGCAGTATCATAGCAGTATTATGTAAACTAGGGGCCATTAGTATTTAAAGACACTGTCAGTAGTTAAACGTGTGTTTGCCAAAGAGCTGGCTTCATATGATCAACTGCTTTAATCTTTGAGTGCCAATTTGTCATGTTTTTCCATGCCTTCAAAAATACTCAAACAATACTATTTACAACACCTCAAGATGTCTATTTCAAAAAAGGAGACCTGTGAGATACTGTTGCTTTTTGCAGACCACTTTTGTTGTAAAACGTAAAGGTTGAACAGTTACTCAAGGACCTCTGCTGTAAAACTGATCCTGTTACACTGATGCCTGGCATCACCTCGGGTTATGCTACAAAACTGAATGTGAGAAATAAAATCAACGATCCACTTTGGAATCCATTTCTGTTTGTCCCTTTTTTGTTATGTCAATATAGAGTTTTAAAGTTAAAGAGTTTAACTTTAAAGAGTTTAAAAGCGACAAGTTAGAGAATACAGTTTGTGTTCAAATATTTCAAATTCTGCAAAATTGACATTGATCCTTTTCACCCAAAAACATGTATGTGTCGGAGTTCATTCAAGAAAACCAACGGTGATTTTTAAAAAGCTAAAGACATAGAAATAAGTAAAAATATAATCACTACATTTATTCTAAATGACGAGTCAGTTTTCTTCACTAAGTTTTCTTTAGGTTTTGAACTTTGTTTTCTCACATTTTCAGAAAGACTTCCAGATTTTAGCTGCATACATTTCAAACACTCGCAGAGATCTAAGCCATAGAGTAATGGGTCTTTATGATGTTATACATCCATAGCAAATGTAGACGTGTGCCCCAACAAACATCTTTGAAAATCGTCTTTAAAGTGCACGTGCGTAAGTTGGACACGAGATGGCGCCGTTGTGCTGTTTCCCTTCAACGTCTGTGCCTGAGGTCCCACAGGTGCGCTGCGGGCTGCGAGGGAAACATTTCATTTGTTTCATGCTTCACATATATACGACTCTAAAACTCAATCCTACAAGTAAAAAATACAGACATTATCACAGGTTAAAAAAAACTTAAAGATTATGAACTCATCCCACAGAAGAGACATTTTAGTGTTGCAACGCCCAGTGCAGATGTAAGGGAGCTCTTAAAAACACTTGCAAAAGATAAACTTACACAAACTCAAAATCACATTAAAAAAATATACATACTAAATTGTTTTGAATCGCATATTCTCTATTTATAATTCTATTTTTTTTAATGGATCAATTGAATATGCGTCTGAAATACAGATTAATTATAACAAAAATGAAAGGAATGGTACACTTGGTAAGATTAGAAATAGAGGTGATAGGCTAATATTTACAATAACAATAGTTGATACTTATAATTGCATGTACGCAGGGCAACAAATACAACTATAAATTATTATTACAACGTTATTTTATAGATATTCAATTGAAATACATAGCCATTGTATCTGCTGTTTTCTTGCTCTTTTTTTGGCGTGTTAAACCGGGATCTATTGATTCTAACATTGTGTAAACCCTGCTGCGTTCACCTCATGTCCATGGCTCCTCCTGCTGTGATCACTGGCCCCCGGCTCCTCCATGTGGACCCCAGTCCTTGACGCACGCTCGGTCCGGGGGCAGACAAAGTAAAAAAAAATAAAAATAAAAAGGCCGCAGCGCCACACTGTCTCATCTCTAAGCAGAAAGAGCGCGCATAAAACCCTCTTATTCTCCATAATCAAGGTCAAGAGCGTTTTTCAATAACCTTTGGGAATTAGAGTCTGGAGGCGCGCCAGGACCAGCTGCCAATCACCCACCCGGGCGGCTGCATAATACAAAAGTTGTTGACCTTTTTTATTTTATTTTTAACACCTTATAACAGATCGATATGTCCAGAAGCGACGCAGGGCCAAAAGACACATCCATGATCATAATATATGTGTTTTGTTTAGATTCCCCGTTCGCGTCGCGGCGTGATGAATTGTTTGAAATAGCAGATGGAGCTGCAGGGAGAGACAAAGGAGAGAAATCTGGTTGCAATTACCCTCAATTATGTTCATTGTTATATTGAGCTAATTATTGTTATTGTCACTTTTGTTTGTGTGTCTTGCGGCGCTGCTCTGCAATAAGGGCTCCGCGTCCCAAAGACAATAGGGCCACGGATATGTTTTGACTGTGAAATATGGCTTTCATAATTGAACCTATAACCAGCTGGGCTAAATAAAATAAAAAGGGGAGTTGAAGCATGTTTGAGGGTTTGAATCACAAGAATGACAACACAGAGAACGTCAAAAAGTTGAAAGCAATGAGGAATGAGAAGAGAGGCCTGTTTAACCTTACAAAGCGTGAGTTTGTATACTGTATAGATACAGCCAATCAATGGTCATTAATAAAGCAACCATGTTTCTTTTTGCAAATGAAATCAATGAATAAACCAATGCCAAAGTGCGTCACAGTTCTCAAAGACACATTGAAATGACTAGTGTATTATTTTCCATCCTTGCACCGATGGGACTGTGCAATATATATTCTTGTGTTGTAATTGTCCTGATATTGAGAGTGTCTTGTTTGTTTGTGTCCAACAGCTGTGAGCCTGAGACAAATTTCCCTCACGGGACAGTAAAGTTGAACCTTAAACCTTGAACCAAGAAATCACACAGGGCGTTACAAACATACACATTAAAACACATATAAATAATCATAAACAGTATAAAGAGAGTACAAGCCTTCAGTTGTATATGCTAAACAGAAAGCTGGATTATTGTTAAAGTATAAGCAATTTGACTAATGTAAACGACACTAACCATAACTATTTTTTTAAAGAAAATAAAGAAAAGGGAATGTCCAACCATCTGCTGTGTGCATAGTGCTCTATACACTCAAACTCAAAGTGATAAATAAGTCCCATAGACCGTTTTAAACATGTGATTGCTACAGTCAGTGCCTCTATACTCGGCTCTTCCACCGATGCTATAAAAAAAAAAAAATCTACCCTTGAACTAAATTTTACGCATATTTCTCGAACCATGCAGCGCCACGGCTATAATAAACTTTCACTCCTTCACCATCTATCACAAACTAAACCAGATCAGACGCGTTCCTTTGGTGCGTCTCAGCGCAGAGAGAGGAGAGAGGGCGCGATGCGTGGGGCGGGCGGACCTCACCGCACTTCGCTTCTTTGTTTGGGGGCGTCTCCATCCGCGCCTGGTCCCCTCCCCTATTTTCCACACTTCTCATCCCGGGCTCCTGTCTCTGCTCGTCTTCCACAGTCCTTTGGGAAGAGGCACAGCACGGAGCTCCGAGCATCACACACACACACACAAAGTCACGGACAAGACAGGTCCCGCTGCGGAGGGGAAGCCAAGGAAGACAGGGAGAGTGGAGGAGAATGTTGTGATTCCGACAGCTCCATGGACTGTACACTTTGAAACATCTTTAAACGCTTTCAATCACATTTGGGAATTTACTCTTTGGGCATGCTTTGCGCTCTGTTCTAGCTTCTGGGACTCACGCAGCGCAGCAGACAGGTACAATTGGGACGTATAACGGAAAAGATAAACAACAACTACAAAAAAAGGTTTACGCGGAGAGTTGATGTTCGGGATCCAAGAGAGCATCCAGAGAAGCGGCAGCGGACTGAAAGAGGAGCCGCTGGGAGGGATGAACTCGGTCCGGAGTTGGATGCAGGGAGGAGGCGTGCTGGACGCCAACACGGCCGCGCAGAGGTGAGCCAGAGCCAGGGGAGGATTTAGCAGCCCATCAACACCCCACGCGTTTGGAAAGAGAGAGTTTGTGCCAAGCTCGACCCTGTTAAACTTTGTGATGTGACCAGTCTCCCATAAAAGGGAAAGACACTTTACGCACGTGTTCTGTGCCTAATTCTTTGCTTTCAAAGTCTCTGCTTTATCAATGGAAACAACAAACAAAAACATTTACATAATAAGACTTCAGATCACACACTTTTACAATTTATTTTCAAGCAGAAAGTTTGACATAGAGAACGCCTTTATTCTTCCCACATCAGGGGCAAATGTCAGAGCTGCAGTTAAAGAACAGTATGAGGAGCACAACAAGATTAGTAGTTTAAAAGTAAAATGTTATCCTAATAAAGAAACAAAGTACACATACAAAAGTATACGTGTATATACATCTTAAGATACAGCTGTAATAAAATCTCATGCAAGAATATTGAAGTCATTTGCTCTGTTTGTGCGTAAATGTATGAGCAGATATAATAATAACTTGCCAATTTTATCATAAAATAAAATATTCTATATACTAATTGCATTATTTGTCAGCGTAAAATATCGTGTTTAATGTATTGAAGATCAGTCAAATTCTCGGTGGAACAAATAAGGTTTTCTTTCATCTACAACAACAGATTGGAATGCAGCAGGCTATAGTTTGATGCATGTATGTTTAAAGTGATGGATAATTCACAACACGTGCTCAAAACGTGCTTAAAACACATGGTAAGTCTATTAAAAACAATCACACACAAAAAAAAACCAAAAACGTGTCAAGCCAGTAAGTCTGACATCGCAGCTAACCCCTCTCTCACATTGCAAGCAGAAACCACGTTTGTGCATAGCTGGATGCGCTGGTGCTATGATATAAATACAGATGAATGAAAAGTGCCTCTCCGTGGCTCACTGGTGGCGTGTGTCCGCAGCGGAGTGGGTCTGGCCCGGGCTCACTTCGAGAAGCAGCCGCCCTCAAACCTCCGCAAGTCCAACTTCTTCCACTTCGTGCTGGCGCTGTACGACAGGCAGGGGCAGCCCGTGGAGATCGAGAGGACCAGCTTCGTGGACTTCATTGAGAAAGAGAAGGTTCGTGCATGTCTCTGTTGTAATAATCTGTAATAAACACGTTTTTATTATTGCAAACTAAAAGGCGCCGTATTTGCAGCGTGATAATGCGCTCCACAGTCGGGGGAGGCCTCATATTCCCCACGGGATTCAATGTCAAATTTGCTTTTAAAAATGCAAACATGGGCAGAAATACGTAAAAAAAAAGCGTGGGGGAATAGAATAAACGATATTACAAATGTTTAGAATTATTTGTGAAGAGAGTTTGCACGCACTTTCACCCCTAATGTATTTATATTAATTTTTATCAACATTAAGATTTATATATTCACATTTTAATATGATGGAGAATGAGAAGAATAAGATCAAGAGAGATAATGTATTCGTCCCAGTGGGGAAATGTCAGTGTTGCATCACAAGTTACAGAATATAGGAATGAGGAGCACACAATACAAATTAAGTGAATATTAAATGTAGCATATGCTTAAAAAATATCTTTATCTTTTGCTTCATAAAGAAACCAAGTATAAAAACATATAAATACTCCTGCACTCCAGTGTAAATAAATATATACTTGTATCTATACATTGATAGAGCATGAATACTAATGTAAAGTAATATATCTGTGGGTTCATATAGTCACAATGAGGATGAAAATGATACATATATATGGGACACGTGTATTGTATACTGTGTATATTGCACATTCTGGCAGCATTGCACACTATTGCACAGATAACATGACTTATAATAATTCATATTTTGCATCACGTTTTCAAAAGTAGTTTCTTGGATAAAACCGTATGCCGAAGTTCATATATATTATAAATAAATAAATAAATATCTATAAAATTCATTGCGAATCTGCTGCGGAGAAATCCAGAAGTAGAGAATAACAAGCCACGTGGGAAATACATGCCTCTTGTAAATCTTATGTTGTTTTAATGCTTTCTGGGTTCACTCCGGCCTTTTGCTGCTTATTTATACATTATTTACCAACGTGCTCAATGCGTTTACTTCTCTGTTTTGTGTGTTTTGAAGGAGACGAGCGGAGAAAAGACCAATAATGGGATCCACTATCGTCTCCAGCTCCTGTACAGTAACGGTAAGTCAAACGCGGGACTCTCTAAAATCTTGGTATTTCGTCCCGGCATAATGACATTCTACATTTTTATCGCTATTTCTGTTTATACATTTATGAATCAGTGTAACAATCAGGTTATGGTTAGGAGTAGTTAATTTTGTTAAGGTTAGAATTGGGTTTAGTTTGATGCGAGACGAAATGCCAAGATTTTAGAAAGTCCCCCTTTATACACGTGAGATTTGATTTTATTTCAACTTTTATGGGTGGAGATTACACCTGTTGTAAATATACGTGATAGTTATGACTGCTTCATCAATCTAGGAGCAGTTACTAAAGATTCAAAAATAAAATTATAAAAATGTATTATTCTCATGTTGCATTACATGAACAATGCAAACCATGGCATATGCTTGTTGATTTGGTGAAAAGCATGGATGTTTTTATTATATTGGGATGAAAAGTCCTGTATATATTTGTGTGAGAATGGGAATTAGGAAGAAAGAAGGTGATAGAATTTAAGACATAAAAACATGTTGAATTTGTTAATAATTTGTTTTCCCATAACCCTGCGTAGCTTTTAAAAAGACTGAATACTACAAAAATACAAACTAGATACTTCACCGCATGTAGGGAAACATAATTCAACACCATTTTGGCACATTTTCTATAATAAACATAGAAATATTACACACATACACACACGCATTCATTACTAATTCAACTCATAATTTCTGCAGAGTTTCTGTCCTGTGAACTAGGACGTTTGATGTCATAAGTGAACAATGTCGACATCAACTTTTATACGTAGCACATTTATAACAACATCAGCTGCTTCACACTCACAAATAATGAAAATAAAAAAGGACAGAAAACAGCGTAAAATACACACAAATAAATCTAATAGGAGCAAGTTTCATTTCAAAGCCAATTTGTTGCAATGTGATTAAAATGTAGCTTCAATATTTTCATAGTTTGAATAGAAGGAGAGGCTCGACTCGTCAAAGCGTTTACATTCTGCTTTGGGGCAACACGTCTTAAATATCAAAAACACCGCCTTCCTTTTGTGCCTGATATATTGTGGTCAAATCTTATACACACTACACAGTTTGAAAACCAACTATAAAAGCAATGTCTTGTGGGTTTTCTGAGATTTTCCCATGGTAGACTTTCTGTTTGACACTTTGCAGTCTTTGTTGGTGTCACTGATTGTTTGTTAGTGTGTATGTGTGTGAGTGTGTATGTGTGTGAGTGTGTGTGTGTGTGTGTGTGTGGCTTGTGGTGACTTGAGTTCACAGCTGCAGGAGTATGTAAACTTGTGGACTGGCTTTGATTGGGCACATGTGCAAATGATAAGTCCTCACTAGAATTCCTTTGTTGCCAGAGCAGTAAAATAACATATTTTCTGTCAGAATGAATTTATCGGCTTTGTGTCACTAAGATTTGTGTTGTTGTTGTGGCAAAAGAGAGCGTGGGGTGATGTAAGTGGTGATTTTGAATGCTTTCGTAACCATGAAAGGCAATGTGGCTCAAATATGGTTTAGTTTTATTTGGTCAAAAAAAAGAAATCAAGGCATGTTTTCCGCATAATTGCAAATTCACATATCAAAAATAGAGGTGGGAAGATACTAGTAAAATGTAGTAGTAGTAGTAGTAGCAGTAGTAGTTTAGCAGTTTTACAAGTATTTTTACAGGCACACACAGTAATTTCAAGAAACAAACGGATAATAGGGTTGTTATAGCATAAAGTGGAGCAACATTCTCATTTAAAGCACATGGTAACATTATCAAAGCGTATACTAAAAGAATTTAAACTTGTTGTTTTGTTGAAGATAAATTGCAAATAATAATGATATTAAACTTTCAATTTAGGGTAAACAGTAGAAAATCTGCTTTTTTGTTGCCATTGTATTGTCTTTTCACATACAACTTATCCTTAAAGGTATATAAGAGGATTTTCTACTTCCGGGTGGATCATCAAGACTTTTAGTCCTGATACGTGCTCGACAAATAAGACCAGAGAGTTTTGTTCAAAAAGTGGATAAAACTGACTCGACACTGTTTATATATGATCTGAAATTTGAATATCCAATTTTGTCAATATTTCACCTTTCCTAGTGATAACATAGCATTTATTTCATACCATATCCCGTACTAGCAATGTCATTTTTCCTTTCTTTCCTCTCTTTTCTGGCAGGCATCCGAACCGAGCAAGACTTTTACGTGCGGCTCATTGACTCCATGACGAAGCAGGTAAACACTGTCTGCATGTGTCCCACTGGGGTCTACACTCGTTTGAATTTTTTAACCAACTCTACAACAACAGAACATTTCTCCAGTTTAGGGGTCTCCAACATGTTTCGATTGGAGAGCTACTCTTGGGCAACAGAAATGGCAGAGAGCTACTCATTTTTGCAGTGGTAACAAAACTGTTGTCTATGAAATGATTGCGGAAAATCGTGGACATTTTGTTAGTAAAATGTGCCATAATACTGAATAACCCTCCAATGGTGAATATAATGAAACGTATGTATATCCAGTCCTATTTATATAGCACATTTTTATAAAGTTCCCAAAGTGCTGCACAGGGAAAGTAAAACAATGATAACAATAAACATTTAAAAGAAAACAATAAAATACCAGCTATCCTATACAAAAAAATAACAATAAAAATTAAATAAGATATGCCTCAACATGTACAAAATATATAAATAAACATACTTATTAAAACATTTAGGATCATGTGTCAAATTCCTGAATCCTTTGGGGAGCTACCTGAATGGGGTTGGAGAGCTACTGGTACCTCCTGAGCTACAGGTTGGAGACGACTGCTTTGCATTGATTTTTGATATTTTATTTGTTCATCTATTCGTATCTTGCTCATGTTGAAAGCAAAAGTATCGGTATCGGACATGACAAAGCTGGAACCACAGAAATAGTTTCAATTTCAGAACGATAACATGAATACTGAAACGTTTGTCTAATAATATACAGGTGAAATTTAGAAAATGTCAATATCATTCAAAAGTTGTTCATATCTGTAAATCTGTAACTATGTCTAACCAGTACATGATACAGACTCATGACCTGCAGAGTGACATATACCAAGCTACAAGGGCCAAGAGGAAAATGTATATCTATGTATTTATGTCAAAACAACTGAAAAAAATGACAATTTTTTTTGTCATTGTCAATTGTCAATGACAATGACAAAAAATATTCTGATATTGTAAGAGATGTTTTATTATTTCGGGTTTTTACAAGCTGTGAGCCAATTATCAACATTATAACAAAAAGGGCTTGATACTTTGCAGTACACATTGCATGTACTGAGTTTGTCATCTATAAGTTTCAAAGAATCAGCACCTCCAAACCCGAGGCCATGGTGCTTGACCGGAAAAAGGTGCCTTGCCCTCTCCGGGTGGGTGGAGGGGTCCTTCCTCAAGTGGAGGAGTTCAAGTATCTCGGGGTCTTGTTCATGAGTGAGGGAAGGACGGAGCGTGAGATTGACAGGCGGATTGGTGCAGCGTGCGCAGTGATGCGGTCGCTGCACGGGTGGAGCTCGGAGTAGAGCCGCTGCTTCTCCATGTCGAGAGGAACCAGTTGAGGTGGCTCGGGCATCTGTTCCGGATTCCTCCTGGACGCCTCCCTGGGGAGGTGTTCCGGGCACGTCCCACCGGGAGGAGGTCCCGGGGAAGACCCAGGACACGCTGGAGGGACTATGTCTCTCAGCTGGCCTGGGAGCGCCTCGGGGTCCCCCCAGATGAGCTGGAGGAAGTGTGTGTGGATAGGGAAGTCTGGTTGTCTCTGCTTAGACTGCTGCCCCTGCAACTCGGCAACGGATGAAGCGGAAGAAAATGGATGAATGGATGGAAGTTTCAAAGTAAAGGAACTTTTGAATGATGTAAACATAAATGTCCTTAAAATATCACGTTTAAGGACATTTATGAACATTTATGGCCATTGGTCGTCCACTCCCTATGGACCAATGCCTCCTATTTTTATTATGTCAATTCTTGTGCTTGAATGGTTTGATTTTCTGATCTGTGTTGGTGAATTGTCCTCTGGGAATCAGAATCAGAATCAGAATCAGAATCAGAATCATTTTTATTGCCACGTGAGTAACAAAGTTATCACTTGGAAATTGTCTTGGCAGAGAGCGTGCCACTTCGCCATTTGCGGTGTGGAAGACTGATGTTGTGATTCAAGGCTATACAAAATACATCTCAATTTATCTCAGATTGATAATAATATTTATTTGTTCATCTACTTATGGATAAAATGGATAAATTAGTCACAAAACCTGCCAAAAATACATATGTGTTTGATCAAGTAATAAGTATTTAGCACTATTTCACTTGTTTTTTAATCATTTTTTTAAGTATAGTAGAAAAATTGTATCATGCTGGACACAAGAAATGAATTAAAAGTCTCAATAGTTGTGAACAAATGTAAAATTGTATCCCAAAAATGCGATATCGCGACAATACAGTATCTCAAAATGGTTTTACTGTGACATGCCTCCTCTCTCTGTCTCGGTGTGGGTGGGTTCCCTCCGTGCGCTGGTGGGTGGGGGTTCACATTCTGCCAGTGAATAGCTCAAGGCGTTTTTTCTTTCTTTCAATCTGTTTTTTTTTTTGCCTGCTTCTTGGTGCTGTGATTAGAGTTGGGCGGCAGCGTGCTGTGGTTGGAGAACAGGAGTTGCTCACAGTGGGAAGTGCAGATGTAACAGCACCTTTGGGAGATGCACTTCTGTTGGTATAGAGGGCTGCTTTCTGATCACACGCAATTCTGGCATTTTGAGGTTTTTAGTTGTGTGTGCAGATAAAGGAGAGGCCTGGATATACTGTCAAACACAAATACTTAACCAGTTTACCGCTTAATCTACCCATTTAACCTTAGCTTTATGTTTTGATGTTTCAGGAATTCTGGATGTGCATACTGTATGTGCTTGGCTTGTGTTCAGTCTTCAACTATGGATCTAAATCTTTGATAATTGACTGGTTTTTTTATATTATAATTTTTTTGTAGTATAACAGGGACAAGGCACATTAATGAACACATATGTAAAAGTGCCAGTTTTAGCTATCAAGCTAGTTGTCACATATAGACATACATTACATACATTAGTAAACGTTTTTTTTCATAGATTATATTAAAACAAACATGAAATGACTTCACATTACATTGAAATCTATAGGAAACAAGAAACATCCTTTCATAAATAATACCACATTATAGTAATTATCCTGACAGACATACAGTATCTACATCATCGGTCTCCAACCTATAGCTCGCCGCCCTCTTAGTTCCCCAAAGAATAATTTATAAAGTAAATTATAAAGTAAATATTAAAAAAAATCCTACTTTTTGCACTTATAAAATAACATTACACAACAAAAAATGCCCAAAAAATAAAAAAATAAAAATTGTCAAAATTTGACCTTTTGACGGTCCTAAAACAAGATTTGAAATACATGCTTGACATACTACTTTGTTCCATTGTCTGTTCCATTGTGCAGAGAAGTGTTTTCAAATCAAGATCAAATCTTTATAATCCACTGTAGCACACTGTTATGCCGACTTCTAAAAGGAGTAGCTCTCTGCCAAGAAATTAGCTCTCCCTGAGAAAAGATTAGAGACCCATGACCTACATTATTCCTCTTTGCGGAAATATTTGAAAAACTGTCACATTCTGAATTATTAGTTAGTTAGTTAGCAGTTTAAACCACACTTATGGCACATTCCCACGGCACAACGCACCAGCGTCAACCCTTCAGCCTCGGTCCCAGTGGAAGTCCAGAGCAAAACGGCGCTTTATTTGAATGCGATTTGGCTTTAAATGCGGGAGATTTTAGGTTTGCAGAAGCCATTTGTCTCGGTGCAGGTGCATGAGAGCACTGGCCCAACTGGGAGCGTGTGACGTGGGGCTGGGATTGTACTGAGAAAAGAAAAACACAAAAATAATATGGGCTTTGATGCTTATGTGTAAACTGTTGATGATTCCTCTCCCCTGTTCGGGCTTCAGCTGTGTCATTCTGTTATCTTCATGCATTAAAGCTGGGATACCTAATTTTCAAAACACAACAAATGGAACTACTTCTTAAAATCAATCTCAGCTATTTGCTCTCACACGGTTTGGTTCTATCACAAACGTTTACTCTACAAGACTCTACTGGACTCTACTGAATATAAGTTAGATACACCAGCTTTAAATAGTCCCTATCACAGCTTTTGATCACATTTCTTAGTTGTTGGTTGTTTTCTCTTGTCATTCACTCTTTCAAATTAGTTTTTAGAGCAATTTTACTAATTTGGCCCCGCTGACCATTACATAGCGGCACGTCCACTGTTTTTGCTTGCTTTGTTCTGCTATGTTTCGGAAACTGTGATGCAAAAATGACTCATAAGTGCTGGGCAGGCATTTTTGCTTGAAGGGAAAAATATCCCTTGATCGCTAATTTGATCTATGGTCTTGAGTGGCCCAGGAATTACAGAGAGATTAGCTCTAAACTAAAAGAATGGTGGCACAAGACTGTTTTTGGTTTGATTCCACCAAGAACAGGCCTTTTTGTGTGGAGTTTGCATGTTCTCGCCGTGTCTACATAGGTTTCCTCCTGGCGCTCCTGTTTCCCATACCACTAAAAACAAGTACAATAGTCTCCTAAAACACCCTCTCTCACCCTACTCCCACTCCTCTCTTTGGGCCAGGACTTGCAGAAAAAGACATTCTGCAATCTCAGTTGGACTTTCCCGGTTAAATAAAGATCAATACAAAAAACTAGAAATCTAACTTTTGGCAGTTACTATAGCTACCAGGCCAGATTTGTCAGCTGCCCTCCACCACAATGTTGAACTACTGGCTCTTTGGAACGCTGTGATGTTACTCAAACACAACCTATCAGATTAACACGGGGCTAACGACAGCATCCATATCCCGCTCTTCACCTACAAACACACACAGAATAACATTTCCACAGAGGCCTCTTTGAAGTCACGAGTCTACCTACCTGTTCAGACCAGTGCGGGTAAACGGCAGTAGCCCCCACCCTCTGCCTACACTCTACACTCTACGCTGCTTAAATGAGCACGTCCCGCCGCCTCATGTGTGCTAAGAGCGTGTGTGTGTCTGCAGCCGCCCAGACTCTCTCCCACTGACAGTAACGCGGCTCGAAGTGTGTTCCCTGCTTAACGCTGCCTTGTTTACACGCGGCGCATGTCACACCGCTTCAAAGGACCTAGGAGAGAGGAGC